CTATGCAGGTTTGACTCCACACCGTTTTCAAGTTGTTCCAGTGCTTTTCGACGCTGACCTTTACGCTGGTGTTGATTTGTGTCTCGGCTTTTTCCATTATGGTTGCAATGAAGATGTCCTTTGTAGCCTGGTCCTTCAGCTTTTGAGTGTTGAACTTGGATTTTGGTCTATCTGCAGCTCCTGATTCCCTGAAAGCTTTTAATTTGATTTGGATTGTCCCTTGTACGAGATAGTGGTCTGAGCCAACGTCTGCTCCTCTTCTTGCTTTTGTGTCCAGTAGGCTGAGCCTCCACTTCCTTGAGATTGAGATGAAGTCAGTTTGGTTTTTGGTTTGCCCGTCTAGTGACACCCATGTAGCATTGTGGATATCTTTGTGTTTGTATACACTGCCACCAATCACCAGTTCGTTGAAGGCGCAGAAGTCGGCGAAGAGTTCTCCATTTTCATTCATTTCTCCGAGAGCTTCTCTACCCATGATGAGCTCCCTTCCCGTATTGTCTGGTCCCAGTTTGGCGTTCATGTCTCCCATTAGTATTTTCATGTCGCCAGCTGGAGTATTGTCCATTGTTGCCTGTAGTTGCCTGTAGAATTCTTCTTTCTTCTCGAGGTCTGCGTTGTTTGTGGGTGCATAACATTGTATGATCGACACTTTCCTTCCTTTGGAGTTGAATCTGGCGGTCATTATCCTGGACGAGATCGCCTCCCATTGCATCAGTGCCTTCGTTTCCGTTGGTGACATCATGATAGCCACGCCCTCAGTGTGCGTGTGGTTATCTTCTGGGTGAGCGGAGTAGATCACTGACTCACCCGTTGACAATTTGGTGAGTCCACTCCCATTCCATCTGCTTTCACACATTCCCAGAACTTGGATTCCGTATCTTTTCATCTCGTTTGCGATCTGGGCGGCTTTCCCTGTCTCGTACATAGTGCGGACGTTCCATGTCCCCACACAGACTTTTTCTTTTGGTGCAAAGTGGTTCATCGTGCTGAAGATTTTGTAGCAATATTGTTTACGGGGTGGGGTTGCTAGCCTCACGCCTGAGAAAGGAATGGTTACATTAAGACAAAGTTTAGAGAGAAGCTACCTTTTGGGTTGCTCCCCTCAAAATCGGAAAATAACGGACTAAACAATCAGAACAACACCAGCAAAAGGGAAACAGTTCACAGCAAAAGGGGCAAAATGCGACAACAACGATACAATACAACAACATACAATATGGTTCAGCACAGTTAACTAAAATGATATCTCAACCATAAAACTCACTCCCTTGGAACAACTTGAACATGTAAATCCAACAATATATACAATTATGGATGTGTTTATGTTTAAAAATTTCACAGATCCAAATAGTAAGTTATAGGTATTATTTGTCAATAAGATTTTATCCTCGGATTTAGTGTTCGATAAGTAAATAATTGTAATAGTTTCCACAAACATTTGGCATGAAATTTTACAGAAACGAGAGTTTAAATAAAATTAGGGAAATGTAGCGCAGTAGTCGAAAAGCGCGCGATCAAGCAACATATATATGTATATATTTATTAGTCACTCCTTGAGGACTCCTCTTGCTTTCTTTTGCGGTGCTGTTGTTTGTCTTCTTTTCTGTCTCACCAGTTTAGCTTCCATTTGACTTTTTGAATGAGAATGAAGTATGTGGATGTTTGACCATTTACAATGACAAATGATCTGCAAACATTATTGGTCCCATATCTTACAATTCCTTCGTGAATTACGTATTACCTCCCCCAACGACGCAGCCTGGATTACATTTGTGGAATATACTCTTATACCAATGGAAAAGTATTAATTTATAATACAACGTCACGACTGTAACTTATAACATAACTGATCGTATCTGTGAAAATAGCTTTCATTTCTTGAAAACACTCGTTTATAAGAAAATATAAACTGTCATTATTATTAGTCTATATTGAGTACAATTCACTCGTGATGTTACGATGAAAATGCTAACAAAACTATACAAGTGTATCACTTATTTTAATTATTACCAGATTTGGATATAAATCAAGAATAAGATTCGGTTTTGTACACCTCTAAGTTACATTGGGGAATTACTTCAAGCTTTACATTTTCTCAAGTATTTGTAAACCATCCATAATATATTTGGGTTTTTTGTTAATGCGAAGACAATATTTCTATATTTCATTATGTGCTCCATAGAATGACTAGTTATCATATTGTTCCCACAAACCAAAGACAAAAACGTCAGCAACCATGTAACTTAACCATAAACCAAATTCATTCATTGAAGCTAAGAATCTTCTCAGATGCAATTTTATCCTGAACTGAGTTAATATTGTGATCGAAATTGTAAAGAATTGCCTCTGAGGACTCGTTCGAAAATTTCGAGTCTCAATTGTAGCATCTAACTTGATGTTTCTACAAGTTCCAGTCGGCATGTGTGCACAATCACTCAGCGTCTGATTTTGACTTACATTGAACGACATGAGACAGCATGTTCAACTACACAGTATCCTGTAGATAACTCACTATTGAACTGTGGGAATATGTGGGAATAGTATTCCATTAGAACACACTGTTTGTATCCCACCGCCGCAGTGTGTGCTATATGCGTGATCCTGGGTGTTTCTGTTAACTGATGTTGGTGAAAATCCAGCTCGAAGTGGCTGGAAAGTTATAGTCGATGTGAGTATTCGGCAATTTGTTGCCAGAGTAGGAATGAAGTCTCGGTAACCGGTTGAGGTAGTTATCAGACAATAGCAAGTTTTGGGTGGACGTCGGCACATACTTTTTGCCAAATGCTTAAGATGTATGAATAGTTTCTATTGGCTCGTTGAGCCTACTGAATGCAGTCTGTGGCCGATGTTTTAGGGATTTTCTATAACATTCAGTTGGTTTAAGGTTCAAAGGGGGCTGGCTGATAGTGGGTTTACGTAGTGGATGAGTAGAGTAATATCGATTACCCCGCTATGTTGTTTGTCTAGAAGTAGTGGTTGGTTATTATTGGTTTTACACTTGAGGCCTTGTAAGGAACGACAATAAGCGAAAATAAAAAGGCTGGGTTATGAATGTGCTTACAGGGGAAAAATATGCAGGCTGAGTGAAGTATAAGGTGACTTCAGAGAAAAGATCCATCGGGTCCTCCGGTTAGCAGAAGGTGCGTTATAGGCTCCAAGACTATGCTTGTCAATGTAGTTGAAGATTGAACGATCAATTCATGGTTGTTTGCTCAAAACCAACTTTCCCAATTTTCGCGGAGGCATCAATACACCAGTCATCGTCTCACCGGTCGCTGTTCAGAAAGAAGTCAGGAGAAAACCGTCAGAAGTAATATTGTGATTTATTATTGTAATATTTGTTCATAGACCTTAGTTGTATTATTGGTTATATGTTGGTGTTAGAATAATTCTCGAATCGCCAAACTGGGTTATGGTTTCTGCGCCCGTTCGTACTAAGCGTCTCTCAGAAGCTTCGAGGAACAGCGTGAGTCCCAGCGTAGCAGGAGCTGGGCATTAACAGTTCTCGAGACGAGACTGACAATGCTCGTTGTCCACACTACTTGAAGCGAAAAATGTTTTACTCTGCACGTACTCTGGCTTCATGGAGATGTAATACAAGAATGCATAAGGGATTTTGTTTCCTTTAGTTTCGGGCAGTTAGCAACGGATTCACTAGTATTGTACAGTCTTTAAACCAGCGAAAACGAAAGAAGTGTCGATTAAGTGATACCGTCAGAGAAAACCTATTTTAGGGACACATATGCTCAGCAGTGTGGCCTATTAGAAGCCTTTTAAACTAAATCCTAAAATATCTTCAGGAAAACTAGCACATGCAGTTTCCTTCCTGAGACTAAAGCTGTTAGTGTTTCCTGGAAATATCCACGGGCAGGCTATAAATTTTGTAGTAGATAACAGCACATAGGCTAAACTGAGATCGGAACGCATTTGTAAGTACCAGTCCCAAGCCCTATATTCAGCACAGCGATTAAAAGTAGTCGTACAAATCATGCTGCCAACAGGAGAGAATCACTAGGCTTATGTCAGAGTCGAAACTATGCCTAAAATTAATTGAACAAAAGTTTAATGGTATGCGGTGGTGTTATTTGCAAATTTTGACCAGTCCACACAAGTTGATGTGCACTAATGCCAATCTAACCAACTATTGCCTATTCTGTGAATGCTGATTCATTGAGAAGTGTTCCATAAAACAATATATTTCGCAGACGATAGCTCTAATCTGATGGTAGAAGGCACAAGTGTCATCTGTTTGTGAACTACTGAATTAGGGGAATAGAGAGTGGCGAGTAGCATAACGGAAGTGCAAAGTGATTTTGCGGTCTGGTAGCATAAGATGGCCATTTTCCACGCAAAAGTTGTTTTTCTTCCCTTTGCTTGAACCATTCAATGGAACTGGTCATATAAAAATTTCGAAAATCCTTAGCTCTTGCTAATGCTATGGGGTTCCAGTAGATAATCCTTAGATTGTACCAATCTATTGTCATCAGGCTTTATTATGTTTTCGGTGACAAATGTGTACCACAAATAATAAAATAACCGACACTACGATCGGAAAGGATGAAATAGGATTTGCAGTTATTAAAGAAGGTGAAGGAGCTTTGAAAGTGAGTCATAAACAGGAGAAAAAGCGTTATTACTTCAAAAAGTTAGCTTACAAAATAACGGGACGTTTTGGTGCTTCCAAGTTTATTAAGAGGGCAAGTGTCTACTTGACTTTCTGTGAGAAGCCAAATTTTGCGAAAAAACTCACATTTCGTCGAGATATTTTTTGGGTGGAAGGGTTTTGGCTTTGCGTCTATCAGCATGCGAACAAATGCTTTTGCGGTCATTTTCTGTATCTGTGGTTCAGCTGCATAATCCTTTAATGTGTGAAAAAATTGAAATAGCCGATAGAAATGACCGAGTGAGTTCTCATAAATATTTCCATTATGACAAAACAGAAAAAAGTCAATTGAGCATTGAATATCTCCCTCTTGTTTGTAAACATAAAGCTTTCGTTCACCATTGTTGTTAGGGCGGCTTTGATGTATGTAGCATGTTGGTTTCTTAGTTAATTCGTATACGGCACGGTTCCAAATATCATTCACAGCAAATTACTAGAATTTTTCGTCTTTTTAACTTCCAGCGGTCCTTCTTTAAACGTGTGTTACAAAACCAGCTGGTTCCAGGAGCCAATGCTGGCACTACAGAATGAGTTCAAAAGTCAAGTCTGAAAAGACAAAGGTGAAGTTCGCCCAGTCAAACATTAATCATGTCTATAAAGGAAATACTACAGAAACTCATCATAAACCAAGTAAGTCCTCTTTTGCATGCCTTGGTAACTAAGCGTTGTACCTCGGATAATGTTTTTGCAGTGAAGAGGTCCATCTATTCATATTTTGATGTCATCCTACCATTAAGAGCACTTTAGACTAGCAGTTATTACATTGAATTCTAACGGAACAATTGTGTGGGGTCACCGCGTAAATGACAGGGAAATTCTATCTATTACATAGGATTCTTGCATACAGTAGTCTGTTGCTATTAAAGAAGGCTCTAATGCCGTCCGAGGAAACTGTATAATGGTAGTATAGTTACAACCATTTCCGTGCAGTATGCATCGATCAAGTGTGAGCTGTTTGAGGACATCGTGACTGTCTAATCATCGATTGTTGTGAGGTTTTTTAAGCAATTGGAGTCACAGTGAATGTCACGCACCTCAAGGAGTTTGAATCCTTAACTCGCTTCCATGCTTATCGATAGTGGTCGGTTTAACGAACAAATACCTGTAGACTTCATGACTATTAAAAATACTGCCTATGACAGTTGACATACTAACTCAACTAACTTATAACAGTAATACCGCTACCTGTGACTTATTAGGTGTTTATAACACTTCCTGTATTATTGGACGGTCTTATGTGTGGCGGTTAGAACAGCTCTTATCACCACACTCATCGTCATATGATTGTGGTTTCCTCGTGCTCTGGTTATGGGCTTGTTTTATAATGTGTAGGCACTTGAGCAATAGTCGAAGTGACGTTCAACACTTATTCAAGGGTCTGTTTGTCTTCAAGATAGTAGTTAACGGTTGCTGACAGCTGGGGATCGTTATGGGTGTCGCAGATACGTAAATTCTGAACATTTTTACGACTGCATTAAATTACACCGTTTATCTAAGTATCTGCCTCGTCTGCACTATGTTCATGAAACGTAATGATATAGCACCTACGAGCTAGTTTGATATTTAGTGTTGAAAGCCAACCCAATTGTCACACTACCAATTAAAATCACTAGATACGAAGTTGAATACGCACTCTGATTAACATTTGGTGACCTTTTGAGGATAGTTTCACCGCTAAGAATCATAATTAACACTAGCTAAACCAGTAGGTTATGTGACATGAGTCAACGCTCATAGCTCCGACTTCATTGTATAGTTGATATATTTTGTATGGTACATTGATGCTGACAGACTAATTCCATCTTATGCTTAGTGATAGACAGTTGAAGGAATGTAGCAATATGTTGTATTTATTACTATACTATTATTCCTTTGCGTTCCTGGCGGACCGTAGGGCCTCAGAAGCACATCACCATATCGCAACACTTAGCATTCTATTTCAGCTGGCTGCATGATTGCCCATAGGCTTTCGTTTCTTCCTCATCACGCAACCTCCACATCACCTTTCGATGTACAACCAGTCTGTTCTCATTTGGGTCACGCTGGCTCGTCCTATAATTCGGCGGTCCTCGGACAATCATTCCACATTACCTTCTACATATATTTTGAACGGTATGTTCTTCGTTGGTTCGCTGCCTACCAGAATCACTTGTATAACCATTCTGTTCTTCTGAAGAAAATCTCGGCTGCTTGAATATGTCTAATCTGTTCAGGTTTAAGAATCCATATTCCTGTAACTAAACGTTATGTTTTCATCTAATATATGGCAGGGGAACATGGGCTGAGAATGCTAACGAATATGCCCGTCGACCGTAATAATAGCAACTGAACTAAAGCTTAGCCCCAGTGGCTCCCATGTTTTCACTGCTTTTTACAAATGGTATCGGCTCATGACAGACTCCATATTGTACCGAGGCCATTTTAAGTATAGAAAAGTAATGACCAATGTCGTCAGCCTACGTTCCATACCTTTATCAAATTTGTACAGGACAGAATACAAAGAATCTAGGTCGTTTCCGACAGTGTGCACCGTTTATCACGGAAGGATAAGTTTAAATAGTTGTTCCTATTAGTTTGAGTTTAGTAATGTAGGTGTACGTAAATCCAGGATATCAACTGAGGTTCCCTTATTATGCTTGGTAACCATGTGTCCATTGGTGGACTTTTCTGCATGCTTGTCTACAGCTGTACTAACCAGACAAGAGATCGTCACATTTTTCTTTAAGCCCATCCACCTCAAGAAGTTATTATTCTACTTATATAAGGCTTTTTCTTTCATTAAGCTGTGCGACAATATGGAATGCAAGTTGTCGGAAAGCTGCAAGGAACTCGTCGACTGCCGCCGCCGGCTTGGGTCCCTAGTATCAAAGCTGAAACAGGTGGTTTGGACAGTCGAATCTCTCTTGTTCCCCCGGGTGGGGGTGGGTGGGGAGCACCATCCACATCAACGTCTAACTCTGAACAACCAGCGGCTCTACCATCTACAGAGTCTGACAGCCGTCCGACTGTACCAACCTTATCCACCGTGAATGGCGCATTATACAGTGAAACAGTTGGTCTTTCTCTTGACTCGGCTTATGCCAAAATTAGTCACGGTGTCTCAGATCCCGGGGTAACGAATACAACAACTACGAACGGTAAGTACTTCATTTCTTGGAACTTACTTTGTAAAGAAGTGTTGTAGGTTATTATTGACGCAACTACATTTGATACCTTCATGTCGAGATATTTGTATTGTCCCAGTGGCGAAGTTAAACGACAGCAGCTAACCCTATGTACATAGCCACTCATCTTAAGCAACTAAACAAAATCGAGGTGCAGTAAGTCTCAAAATCTTAGTCCTCCAAGAAAACCTATTATCCTGCCTGGTTTTCCCCACATTGGTGTTTTTCTTTAGTAATTTCAACTCATCTGTTATCTGCACAGCAACTGAACGCTGCACCTTTTAGCATAGCTGCGACATTCAATCGCTGAACAAAATGCCCCTGCCTATGTGGGAAGTTGATTGTATCAGCCTTTATGGAGTGACTGATTGCTAACGAAATCTGAGCACTCATAAAAAAGTTCATGTGGTATTTGCCAACAAATTATGTCGACTCTGGCGTAGACGTGATATACTGCACTGTTTGCGTTCTTCTGTCATATGTGGAATAGTATGGTAAGCGATGCTGGGGACATCACTCGTACCAAATTCCCATGAAACTTCATGAACTCTCTTACAAATTGCCGCGCCTGGGCAGCGATGATTCGAGACGTTCATGAAGCCGGCTCATCCTCCCGTAGGAGATAGCCGAAGTAAAGTAAGTAAGTATGGTAAGCGAAACTGAGGTTAGGTATAGTGTTAGGTAAGCAGGGCAAAACGGTCGATAAAGTTGTACAGTTGCATCGGTCGAGTTGACTGCACATGCTGCGCCGTCGCACTCCTCCAAATTGGGTCAGGTTAGAGAGGAGTCCGCATTCAAATTACAGCCTAGTAATCAATCCATTAAGTCTTTGGCAGCTGGTTTTAACAACACACGGAGTTGCACACTGTGTGTCTCGTATACGTTCTCGGGTTGCTAAGTACTAATGGTTGGAAAATGTTGCAAATGTAACACGTAATCGTTGACAATGATTTGGGTGCATTTGACACTTCGTGGTCTTCCGTATCCATGTTACTATTCTCCCTTACGTACATTTCTGCTTAATAGAGTTGTTTCCTCTCTTTTTACTCTTGTGTGCTACATAAACAGTGTGGCAAAATGAAGTACTACTGCACTTCTGTGCGAAGTTCTGTGTTCAAGAATCAGTCAGTTACCAGTTTTTTGACACATTGTATGGAAGCTAATAATATTCATGTATTCTTCTGTGTGTAGCAGATACATCTGTTGGCGTAAATGGTTCATTGAAGACGACTGAAGGTCTCCAGGATGGATCATTGAAAAGTAAAGTGCCGAATCATTTGTCCAAGCTTCAAAATGATAAGCCTAGCTCTGGTGGTGGCGGAGGCTTGGCAGCCAACAAACCATTTTTCCAAAGGCCAACTCCAGTAAGTCAGTTTTAAAAGTTGTGTTGATTTTGTTCACACGTAGTACTTCAGTATCAGAATGTTCAGGACAGTAATATGTGCAATACACTTTGGATTTGATTGATTGTTCTCATCTTTAAATGGAGGTGTGTATAAGAGTCGTAGGACGCCGGTGGTTCACGGGTAGGAATTCTCGATAGCTACGCATGAGGTCGTAGTTCGATTCTCGGTCGACGCACTTCCTAACCTTACCTGACCTACTGTTAGCCCGGATAAGAGGTAAAGTTGGACGTGAGACTAGCATCACCACCTAAAAACAGCACAAGCACTACTGAAACTTCAAAGCTTAAAGCTTGAAACCCTACGTTCCAATTGGAACACAAAGCAATGAAAAAACAGGAGTTACAGGTGGTATTTTCCATAGCTCATATTTCACTATTTAAATGTATGAGCGCGAATTTCAGGTTACTTACAGCTAGCAATATTTCCTTACAGTCGCAGTGAGCCCTTCTGTGGTTCAGCGGTAAACCTAGTTATCACCCTAACATCAACGGATTTGAGCAAATTTGTGTGAAGAAAGTACGCAGGAGTTTCAGAGAGTATGATTACGAGTTATCATTTCATCATAAAGACTGCTGTACAAAGTACCTAATTGACTCTGACACTTAATAGAATTGTCATAACTTCGGAGATCTACAAATGTGGCAACCAAATGCTTCATTATGGAGTACCTCATACTCCGAGCAGTATTGAGGGTTGGCGTAAAACGTTAGGTAAGGGAGTGTGAGGCAGTTGATAAGATGGAGAAGCTAAATTGGTTGAGATAGCTGAGTATACGTTGAACATGACAAGTAGTGTTATATGGCATCGAATTAGATTGGAAAAGAGCTAAGGGCGATCAAGCCAGCATTTGGCATAACTCTCTGGAGCAGTTGATAATTGGGATACTAAAAGCCAGTGGTTGGTGACAATTGATTATGCTGTCCAAAATCGATGTCAGAAGCGCAGATGCATTCAGTCTTTGTGTACTCTTGCATAAACATCAAATCCTCCTTTTTTGCTTTTTTATCTCCCGCACATTTCTGATCACTGTAGACCTTTTGAATTTCTTGTGTCTACGTTTGTGAGCTGTGTGGAGTGTGGCAACTCAGTCAGTTTTATACTCCGAAAAGGTTTCAAGTGCTTGTATTTTTTCGACCTTTCAGGTTGTGGCCACCACTAGTAGTACTCCAACGACTACTACAAAACCTGAAAATGCAATCAAGCCAGGTGTTGGTAGCGGTGCCCGTGAAATCGTTGGTGAACCCAGTGGTTGGGTAGCAATTGGTCAAGATCAACTGGATTTTGATGAACGCATCGTATTCAGCGATGGTGAAGACTGTGAGGATGCGGCGAAAGCCAATCACAAGTCGACTACAGCAACATCACTTCAACATATCCCATCGTCGGAACAACCTTCACAGTTTCCCGTTTCTCCTCCTGTAGCTTCTGCCAATATCAAAAGCAGTAACATGCACCCAACCGGACATGGAGCTGTAAAACCCTTTGTTAATCCATTAACCAGTCTTTCAGGTAGTAGCGTCCCATCTCATGCATTGTCTGCGCCTCAAAAGATGTTCATGGAAAACTCAAGTTTAATGACATCCAATACTGCCTGGTCGGTTGCAGATATGTCCTATGGCGTTAACTCTTCAGGGAGTTGTTTTACAAGGCCACCTCCAACAACGCAGAATCCTCTTTACAGTAACGTGCCCTCAATGATGAATGCTCCGTATAGTGGAATACCTAGCGAAATTAGTCGTTCTCTACCTAATGCCCAATTTATTAACAGTGCTTCATCTACTGGTGTTATGGGTAGGTTTTGTTTCTTTTCGTTATTATTAAACTGAATACGACTTAGCTGTATCTTGTTGCTGCTCATATGTTATGTTTTGTGCGAGTATTGGTTGGAAAAACATGTTACTTGAATGTCTTGCTTGGCGGTTGTTTGCGCAGTTGCGACAAGTGGCATATACGGAATCAGTCATTGAGTGTGAGAATAGTTACTCACCAGTGACATTGCCGGTGGTAGTGACGCTGTATGTCTCGAATTAACAGATTCTAGAATTGATGGGTGGACAATTGGATGGGATGGTGTAGTAATTGGATATTCAATGAGCTCACCTCATTAACAAATCGTACTCATTTGGTGCCGAGCCCATCAGCTGTGTACTGGTTTTGACTCAGCCCACAGAGCCAAATCAGTCGAAAACACGTAACGACAGATGACATATCGTGATCTGAATAATCTCGGTTTCCAAATGAAACTGACAAAATAATCACCGTGAACCATGTAAATTACGAACTAATTTGCAAATTGTGAATTTCATTGGGCTTTATAGCCCTTTACCTGCTATTTGTCGTAGCTGTTGAGGTAGGCAGCTGTGTTGAACTGTCACCTCATTGCACATATTCTGATTTGAATTATTATTCTCTTCATCCACCCTTTTATAACGAATTCTAGGACTGTCATCTTGTCTCCTACTGTATGTTTGGTTTAGTGTAACTGTATGTAGCGCCACAGTAGAGCTGTTTTCTAGATTTCTTATTGTAGCCTATGTTCTGCTAGTGTAGGTTCCGCTATTCTCTACAAATCGAATTGCCCAGGGTGTGAGATAAGCTGAGTTATGAGCTCCACTGGATCTATCCTTTATCCGATATAATTTGTTCCTAAGTGAGTTTGTCTAATTGAAGGCCAGCCACTTAAATGCCTGCTTTGTTTAAAAACCTCTGAGTTTTCAGAGGTTCTCTCCTTGTAAATTGATGTTGTCAACAAATATGAAGGTAAAAGATTTAACTACTGACGAAAAATGAGTTGTTTGGTGATGAATACAAGATGGTCGTTTCGAATTATCTCTGTGTGTATCTGTTAATGATAAAAGCCGTCTTTTTCATCTACAGTATTATGAAACTCAACATCCCCTATGTCACAGAAAGCAGCCACTAATTTCAAATACAGTACATTGAAGTATTTCGCACTTAAGAAGTGGAATGTGCAGTTGTAGGCGATCGGGTAGTAGCACTAACTCTCAAACTGTGGCTCGTGACGTGGTACAAACAGACAGGATTGGTGGTGATTAGGCTTGCATATCAGAATAAACCCGCGGGCTACACTGGCTGGAACTATCGTTCCTGCAGGTCACATCATCCCTTAGACATCGTTTGAATCGCGGTTAGATTGAAAGCACTTGCCTTTCATTGTGTAAATCGTTCATGCCATAATTGGAGGTTTCTGGGCAAGGTCGTACTGGTGGCAAATAAATGATTGTGACATAATTCCGGCATTTCCCACAGATGAACACTAAACCGATTAAACTCCTCTTCTCTGAAGAGTTGCGAGGTTTTGGGAAACGCTGACTCCGAAAATTGTGCGTCTCGACACTAGAATTCTCAGAATCATTATTCGAACAAAATTTGAAGTGGCAAAAAAATAACTTCTTACAATGATTGACGATACATTCATCAAATTCTTTCCCATGGTTTTCTCTTCCGCTAGATTCATTCTACTCCACACATCAACTCCAAAATCGTTTAGCAGCATCAGCAACCCCAATAGCCAACCTTTCGGATACTGTAAGATCTACAACTGATGTGGATAGTGAACTACAACAAGCCCAACGGCAGGCGAGAACACAAGAATTCAGAAATGCTGTGGAAAGAGCTCAACAAGCTAGAGCCCGCCAGCGACTATCTGAAAGTTGTTCAGGTGATAGTGGTGACACTAATTTATCAAAGTCTGCTCTAGGCCTGTTGTCTAGCATGTCAGAGAATAGAACAATCGCCTCTGTTCCTGCACCTTTCAGTACAATGGCATGTCAACCTGGTCCTAACTACATGTTTCCGCCTAGTGATCATTCATCTTCAGTTAATCCTATGCTCAGCGTTCCTCCACATAGTCTACTTCCACCAGCTTTCCCTACATCAGGGTCACTTGATATAACTACTGCAATTGCAGCCGCGACAGCTGCAGCCATGGCGTATACAACAGGTGGTTCAGATAACAGTAGCAGCGGTGGCATCCCAGGAAGAAATGTTGAAATGTCTATGAGTGTTCCTACGGGAATTCCTCATACACCACAAGGAGTACCAGTGAGTTCAAATACCGCCAGCGGAGCATGGCAGCAAATTCAGTTTGCGGCACTAGGTGCCAATTCGATGTCAACAGCAGCTGTCATGCGATTGCTCTCTCAACATCCACATATGGCACAATTGTTACAAAATGCTTTGGGTATATCTGCTGCAGGTGGTGGTTCTCAAGTGCATAAGTCGTCGTCTTCTCAGCAGCAGCAACACTCTCAAAATATGTTTGTCAATCCCGACTTTTTTGTTGAACGTTTTCTTGAGATTTTAAAGAACCAACCTCAATTGAATCGGTCTCAGGACCACCGCCATCAGCACCGGTTACTTCCGAAATGAACACTCTATTGTCGACTACTTCAGGCCTACAACAACAAGATCAAATGCCTACTGCTACTGTTAATACTATTAATACTGTTAATACTACTACCCAAGTGCTTAGTAAGCATCCTGATGATTCTGCCTCCGCATCATCACAGAATATGGGTGAATTTGATGGTAGGGCGAGTGATAAAACTCATCGGGCTCATAAAACCTCACAGTTAACCAGTAGTAGGTCAGATGCTCCTCCTGCTGTTGTAGCTACCACGACTGCTGTTGGGAGCAGTAGCGATTCTCCGAACCAAGGAACTTCGCGTGTGCCCGGTTTAATGGATATCAAAGTATCGTGTGCATCGTCTCAACATTTAGCTCATATATGGGATAAAGAGGATAATCTGCTGGAGTCAGGAAGTCGTGGCTACCGTGGTGGTGGACGTGGTAAAAGTATGACTTCATATAATAAGCCTCAACGTGGAGGGAATACTCGAAGTCGTGGAATTTCTAGTAAAAATCACTTATTAGATTCAGCAACTCTTGAGTTTAGTAAGTAATACTCTTTTTTATTGATTTTTTTGATTATCTAGAGTATGTTTATACAGTATTGAAATCTTTGTGTTCGATAATATTATTATTATGCATTGATGACTGTAAGGATGAGTCATGGAGACAGCTTCCTGTAAAAGGTTCTACGTGCGTATTAACATTTGATTCGTGAGAGCTTCACTAATAAGACATTGGGAAGACGTGTAAAGCGAGGCGTATAGTGATTGGACAGCACTATAATCGAATGTATAACCACTACCTTCCTCGACGAGTAATGTTTGCTGACATGGGATTAGGCTGGGAAAAATTTAACGGGGTGGTCAAACCAAAACCTAGCACCAATCCATGAAATCTTTGACAGTTGGTGTGGAATTGTAGACTGCCTAGTTAAAGGCCTCTTGATGTTAAGAATTTATGGCTGTAGATTATTGATAAAGCTCGAAAAGCGGAGATGCATTCACTACTTCTTATCTCCCATATATGTTAGGAGGCCATGCTTTCTTTCTCACATTTCCGCTTATTATTTTGAATCTCATTTATACTTTTCCGTCTTTGTGGTACATGAAGTATAGCAACTTGAACTGATGCACTCCTGTGCGAGGCTCCGTGTTGCACTGTGGTCACTGTTTAGAGGCATCTGACAATTTATTCGGTATGCGATAGGTGATAGAAAAAACTTCATTGCCGTGTGTAGACTAGGTGATCTAATCTAGTTGTGTTGATAGCTTCAACTACATCTTTATTTAACCACACTGTTAGGTATTGCTGACCACCAACATTGTCAAAGGTCAGCAAATACCAAGCACTATGAACAACAGAGGCAATAGCAGTTCTAAACGAGGAAGCTGTGAGTTCAAAAGTCCAGCCATTATTGCTACCATGATCTGCTATGGAACCGTTCAATTCATCATTTCTGTGTTGTTTCTTAATTTATCTGATGTTCAGTTTAATATTGTCTTAATACATATTATCACATGGTTTCGAACTGTAATCTACCGCTATTGTTGATTCGATATTGTTTAAAAACATGTTGATAACAATCCCTTAATTACTATTGTTATTAGGTATAACTGTAGAACCTGATGAAGAGAATATATGAGTAGAACTTGTACACTGCGGTAGAATATAGTTCCATTGTGTGTAGAATTTATTTTAAGTCTCACAGTATTATACAGTAATTTTTTACTGTTACACTGATGAAAAGAAAGTTATGGGGAAGGAATGCTCTTTTTCTCTTGTCAGTCTTTTATGACTTCAAAATGCTGAAATGAACAGACTTTTATTTCGAATACCAGGAGTTTTCATTATCATCACTGCTCCAACCAGTGATTCTCAGCATCCCGAGTGCGTTGTACAGACCATGAACACAGTCATGAACTGTTCAGACCAAGAGTCGGTAATTTCATTTTTTAGTCGGGTCACTCCGACTGAATTATATACTGTTTAACCTTAATTTGCATGTATAACGTATGTCCCAACCATATGGGTTGATGAAGCTTTAAAATCAAATCGATTGGCATTCTCTATTTATTCAACACGATACCTATCCTCATTGTGAATGATCACCTAACATGACGGATTAAACATAGACGTCTGTGGTGAGAAAAACCTCTCGCCTTGTGACCTTTTTCACCACCAACGACTATGCTTTATCATTATAGAGGTGGACGCAGTAATTTGTTGAACAGCCCACATTTTCTTTGGTTGGTGGCTAGATATCACACCCATACAGTCCCGTAACTGCCAAAGGAAATTTTTGTGTGAGTGCTGAAATTTCGTCACGAACTAGGACTTGTTTATCCGAAATAAGGGGATTAGTCAGCCCAGATTGGTACAAACCAGTTCTGTCAAATATTTTTGATTTAATGAGGGCCATCGACATGCAGAGCATCCTCATGGTTCCTCCAAGGGTATTAAGAAGACTGAATTCCCCAACATCTACGCCAAGAATAATTTTATCACTGATTTACACTAGTTCTTTGTTGACAAGTGTTATCCCTAAGATGTCGTAGTCAGCCTAAATCACATTCATATTGGTGCACCTATGATATCGTTGAATACGAATAGTGACACCAGGCGTTTGTGACAGGCATCCATTTATTGTCAGTTATGCTGAGAACTCTCCATAAGCTCTTTCACGGTCGCACACAACGAAAAATCATTTACTACCATCGACAGTACTCTGGATTTCGGTGGACTAGATCATGCAGCGGACCGTGCGTGCAGAGCAAGGTGACAGGTGAACGTCGAACTGATGAGAAGACTGCAGGATTTCCCTCTCCCTGATGATTTGTGCTTAGTGTCAAACAAACTCGAAGATCTACAGGTGGAGACTGACAAGTTGGCATTAGAAGCAGCGAAGGCAGGATTTCATTCAGGTGAACACAGAGACGATAGAAGTTAGGATAACCAGCTGACCAAAAACAAAAAGTATCAATCACTATCGGCAGGAGGAATCTGAAGGAAGTCACCTTTTCCAACTACGGGCGTTACAGGTAAGGATGTCAGATACAGAATCGCAAAGGCAGGACAGAACTTCACTAATCTGAAATCATTGTGAAAATCTGCTACACTTGGCATAAAGAAAAAGATTCGTGTTTTCAACATTAATATCGACTGTGAAAGCCCCTGTATGATTCACAGAACTGCCGTGGCTGTCAGAAAAGCATTCCTAGCAGGGTGCAGAGTTTCATCAACAGCTGTTTTCGATGTCTCGATATCGAAGACCAAATAGCTAACTTCAGAAGGTAAATTATAGGGAATCGTGGCAGGCAGCCAACCAGCCAAAAACTCCATTGCCCAGCAAATATGCAGATATAAGTGAAGATGAATTGGATATTCACTGAGGAGACCATTGAGTGATATCATACCCCGGTGACGGCTTGGACGCAGGTTAAGGGATGACATGGACGATGTCAATCTTAAAAAAAATAAAGGCTTATCAGCAGTGATGGAGTCCTCGAAGTCTAAGGATATAGTAATAAAAATTATTGAAGTTTAAAAATGGTTTGATTATGTGATGATTCGTTTTCTTTAGGATATTAGTATTGAGTACATGTGTTACGTATATAATCTAAAATGTTCGTATTCTTGACGTATTTTATTTGTCTTAGAATCTATGAACCTTCGTGATACAAGTAATCCAAAATATCCTTTGGAAGAAGACGACTATGGTATATCTTATCGTTCACAGGGTGGTCCATCAAAATCATTGAAACCGTGGAATTCAAAATCGCGAAGTGTTGACGATACAGCTTTAGATACTTATGCGACAAACAGTCGAACTAATTCTCGGTTCACTAGTGGTGATGATCATCACAAGGTGGAGAGTCGGAAACAACGGAATACTCCACTTAAAGATAATTGTTGGATGCATACTGACGAAGTGAATGTGGATTTAGATGTAACTAACTCACCGTTTGTCTCCACTACCAGTGATGAAAATGATGAAAGTGATGAATGTGGTGTTCTAAGTGATGTCCAAGAAGGCGAAGCAACTGAAGATGACAAAGAGGAAAATGCTGGTGCTAATGCTGGGAAGAAGAAAGTCGATGTTCGTTCAAGCAAGCATTCTTCACATCCTAGTAGTAGTCAAAATGCAGATATTGGCAAAGATAAGAGCAGAAGCTACAACACATATAGTAGCAGACGTGGTCGACGCGGACGTGTTGGAACGACGAGTAGTCATTTTACTAGCTCAAGGTAAGTTGTTGGTACGGCGACCTACCACGTGTATCATTTCAAAAGTCCCGTATGTCACTAAAACAAACATCGTGAATTAACAATAGAATTCATAGGTTGACCGTGGGATTAACGTTGTTTCGTAATCTGAAGGCCCTAGTGAATAGTTTGACCCACGGTGGTTGGGTCACAGATCTAAATTTCTGGTGGAAAGTCAGCTCTAAAGTAGTAGGACGAAGCAGCTGTCCAATATTGTCTAAATGACATCCATCCATGATCAAACTTCAAACAGTTTATATACTCTTTGTGTTTGAATTTGTTACGGGGATTTGGATTGGTGGGGATCATAATTATGTTTAAAATAGTACTCGAGAAGAAACGTAATGCAATGAAAATAGTGCAGCAGGTCGTGGAGAAAAATAAGGATATATATATATATAGCAACAAAAAGAATGTTTGGAAAAGTTGTGTCATTAGAATTGCAAGGTTTAGTACATAGCAATAACCTAATACCAGAAAGCAAAAATAAAATTAGACGAGTAAATTGAGTCATGTATGCAGTGAAGGTCAACTAAAATTCCAAAGGGTTGTAATTTTCTATTGCTGTCGCATAAGGATTAGAAATGTAGTAGTGCGTAAGCAAGGAAATAAGTGAAGTTGGGGAATCAGAATCAACGGAAATTGAGTGTTAAGATGAATCCGGTTCAGGCACTAGACCAGTTTGTTGTGTGTAGACTTCACGACTTAACACATGGACTGCTGTCATTTCTGTGTGATTTGAAGAAGTTTGATTCGTACTCTTTCCGTTGGTAGTTTTGAAATTGGTTTGCTATTTCGCATGGCATCTGGGATCGATTAGATTTTTCAGAGGCTTTTAGAAGCTATGGCAATTCACATGTTGAATCCATTACTGTATGCAGAAGAAGTTTATTCTACTATTGAACTTACAATAATGAACCTAATCTATCTTGGTGAGTAATTTTGGAGCATGTGAAAGGTTGCATGGTTCATGACGGAGTGATTGCTAACGAATTTTCAAGTTGGATACAAAAGGCTCTTGTGGCATTTGCCAACAACTTGCGTCATCTCTCTTTGACATATCGTATCTGGCTATCGACCAAAAGTGGCACAGCAGAAGTGTTGGTTTTATGAGCGTGAAATATGGTTGCACACTTCTACTTACTACAGATATTTTAAATGTCTATTTTCTTTACCTTTGTGTGCTATAAGGAGTGTAAGTTGAACTTCTGCTGTAATTTTGTGCAAAGTAGTTCTATGTCGAAACAGTCCTGCGAGATCATTTTCAGGACTACTTGTGTTTCTATTTTTAATTCTGACTTTCAATAGTTTCTTAGCTGATAATCTTTCGTAATTTCAATTACAATCTAGGTTGGGAAGAAACCTATTTAAATGCTATTTTGTTTTCTAAGGCCATTACATAGTTCTTTCTTTCTGCATTTGTTTAAATATATTTGTAGAAGTTATACTACAGATGAATTCTCTTCCTATGCATCTAAGCGTTATTCTAAAGGTTCTGAACATGATTACTATTGGCGGCAACAATATGCCTCAGGTTCGAAAGGACTTCGTACAAGTCAGTCTACTGGAGAGAGTGTTGACCAGCGGAAACATCGCAGTAATGACGATATGGTTTATAAGTCGTCTGAGCGTGGTACGTTATGCTGTGTTTTGACTGAGATGAGTTATGTTTTGCATTTTTTTGTTCGCATGTATGTGTATGGGCGTGCGTGGTATGCAGTGATTATTCCATATGTAATTATGTTATGTGAGTATAAATATCCAACTGATAGCCGCTACCTTAAAGTGGTGCTGGTGATCGGACTTGCATATAGCATACGCTAACTGTAACGAATCTTTCATACCGGTAAGTTCGTTTTGATAGCAGTTGGACTATAAGCGGTTACCATCGCTGCACAAAAGGAAACTTACGAAAAGTCTCCGCAAGGACCGTGAACAGTGGTGGGTGACAAAGGCGAAAGAGATGGAAAAAGCATCGGCGATAGGCAACACTAGGCAACTCTTTAGACTCATCAGGGAAACGGGTGGGAGAAGGCAAATCATAAGTGAGACTATTTCTGAGAAAAATGGCTCCTTAATTAGCTCTCAGGATAGACGCCTTGAACGCTGGAAAGAACACTTTGAGGACAATTTAACTTGCCTACAGCCACACTGAACCTCCCCGACATCCACACACACCCGAATGGGATATAGACACTGGTCCGCCGTCTGTAAGTGAGGTCACAAAAGCTATCAGTAATTTGAAACGAGGCAAAGCGGCAGGACCCGACGGAATTATTCCGGAGGTGTTTAAATATGGGGGTGACATACTAGTTTGTAGATTAACTGAGGTACTAGGCAAAGTCTGGGAATCAGAGACAGTGCCATCAGACTGGGGTAAGTCACTTATTATACCGATATTCAAGAAGGGAAACAAGTCCTCGTGTGATAATCATAGGGGGATCAGCCTAACGAACATAGTCTCTAAAATCCTAGGCTCAGTAATCATGCATAGACTAAGCAGAACTCGGGAGGAACAGACAAGGGAAAATCAAGCAGGCTTTAGACCAGGTAGAGGGTGCATAGATCATATCTTCACTCTTCGACAGATTCTAGAACATAGACACACTTTTCGGCGTCCAACAATTGTCATATTTCTTGACTTGAAGGCGGCCTTCGACTCCGTGGATCGAAAGGTACTATGGCAATGTCTGACTGTGAAGGGAGTGCCAAGAAAGTACATTGCACTAATCAAGGCACTCTATTCAAACTCACGTAGTCGTGTAAGGGCTTATGGGGAATTGTCATCTGAATTGGTAACAACCAGTGGTGTCCGACAGGGATGTCCACTTTCCCCATTTCTGTTTAACTTCATCATAGATATGCTGATGGAAGTATCCTTAACTGAACGTAATGACTTAGGAATCGACTTGTTACCAGGGAATAGTCTTATGGACTTAGAATATGCAGATGACATAGTCCTGTTAGGGGAGGATGCTGACAAAATGCAGAGTCTTCTGAACACCTTGAGCAGCAATCTTCGTATGTTTGGCATGCGATTCGCCCCTGCAAAATGTAAGATGCTGCTACAGGACTGGACCACGTCAACTCCTAACTTAGTGATAGGGAGTGAAGTGATAGAACATGTTGACCACTTCACCTATTTGGGAAGTTGTATTAGCACCAACGGACTGATTGGCGATGAAATCTCAGCACGGATCCGAAAAGCTCGAGCTGCTTTCGCTGACTTACACCATCTCTGGCGTAGGCGTGACATCCGGTTATCAACCAAGGGACGTGTGTACTGCTCATCAGTTCGCTCCGTCCTTCTCTATGGCTCTGAAACATGGCCAATACGCGTTGAAGACATGAAAAGGTTGACTGCTTTCGATCATAGATGTCTGCGATCTCTGTCTCACGTTAGGTGGTTTAACAAGGTAAGTAATGTTGACGTTAGGCGTAGAGTGTTGGGCAAAGAGGGAAAATCAATCGACGAGGCTATAAAGTTACATAGACTAAGATGGCTAGGTCACGTGCTGCGCATGCCTAACCACCGCCTCCCCCGACGGGCATTGCTAGCTGATATAGGTGCAGGTTGGAAAAGAGCCAGTGGTGGCCAAACAAAAACATGGCCTCATCAATCCATGAAATCCTTGACAGTTAAACTGAGTCAGGTAGGGAGATGCAGACTTCCGGGTTGGGGCCCTCGGGACTCTAGGAATCAATGGCTGGAGACAATAGGTGACATGGCTCAAAATCGTTGTCAATGGCCAGCGCAGATGTATTCAGTCTCTGTAATCTTTCATATTCCTTTCTACCATTACCCATTCTGTTTCACTCTTATACTTGTCAAACTCTATTGATTCTCTTCACTCATCTTCTTGTCTACCTTTGTGTGCTATTTGGAACGTGGCAACTCGAACTGCTGCACTTCGGTGCCAAGTTCTATGTTGAATCCAGACAGAGAGAAACTATGTTAGGACAAAGCCGTACAGCTGACGAATGGAGTGTTTCAGATATATCAGGAAAAAAATAAATTTGAAGTATTCATAAATTTGAAGTATTGGCTAGTTGTCGATTGACGACTTAGATTAGGCACTTGGCAGTGACTAATTTCATGCGCCTAGTCCGTTGGTTGGTACAGATTGAGTGCTATCAGTCAAATTTGTAATGCAACCACCGTGCTGAGGGACACACCATCGTTGTGCGCACTGAATTTATGTTAGGTAGTTGAAGGCAATCGACAGGAAGCCCTGTGTTGACTTAGCATGGTGGCCACATTGCAGACTTGGCTGGTCGAAATTAGTCTGCACGAAACGAAGAAATATAGGTGTCTAACAGTAGTTGCTACGTATTATCCAGTCGAAGTGCCGTTGCAGTCCTACAAAAAGTCAATCGAGAGCTCAAATAGTCAAGTGGTTATATCTCTGATTACTGGTAATACTTGGTGATTCGAGTTCAAGTCGCTGAAAAGGCATGAATTCTTTCAAGATTGCAAGATATAGCTTGTTGACTGGCGGAAGCCAACAAGCACGAAAACTAGGTTTAGGTAGGGTGTCCTATCGACAATGTAGTGATAACTTTGTTTGATGTATAAAGCATCGTGATATTTAGATTTTAAATACGTTTCTGTGCCTGAAATATTTAAATCTCCTGAAAGCAGTTGGTCGAACTTGGCAAGATTGTATCGCTAGTCAGTACAATAAGTTTTCTATGCATTATTTTATCATCAGAAGACTTCATTTTACTTCAAATTTCACGTTTCAAGTTTTATCCGATCAGAGAACCCTCTATGTAGAGAGGGAGAAAGTGGGGGAGAGAATACACTCCATTTATGTTAAACCCGTAATGAATTAAACCGTTCTGAAAAGTAAAACTTAAATGACGAGGTGACAGTGTTTTTGCCTCATACGTTCATAAAGCAAAATATTGATTTTTTTGTATGAGGACAGTTTAATATTTAGTGGGTGAGAGGAAGGGGTAAATCTCTTCAACATTCATCCCTTTACTAGGCTGTATTAGATACATTTTTCCTCCCAGAAGATTCGCGCTACTTAACTTTTGTGGATGATTACTGCGTTATTATTATTATTTTGAATAAATATTTTCTCAGAATTTTGAGTCATTAATTGCCTATCACGTATCATCGTTGGATTAATGTCATCCAGACAGCTCTTATCTATCATGTGTGTGTGTGTGTGCTTCTCTAGTCTGGTGAATGCACTCACTGTTCTATTCTCTTCAAGCTTGGGAATTTCTTCATCGCTTATCGAAAAAATGGTTTCCGTCATCCAAATCAAGTCAAGTCACTAGTGTACTTACCAGTGTGTTAAATATTATTTTCACATTATGTTAAAGTCTGCATACAATCTCATTAGTCTATGAAAAAAATACTATGAACGAAAACAATCGGTTTCAAATTTCATTCAGTTGGGGATGTCAAATATTCATACTGTGTGTTTCACGACTAGTGACGCTGTATCACCATCTGGCTGTCGGAACCTCACCATTAGATGCAGTGGAATTCGAACCCTATGAACTAATGATTAGAAATTGTGCGCACCTAAGTCAATGAGCTACAGCTTCACTCATATTTATGTAAGAATAGTCAATGTACGTTCTTAAAGTGTTAGCGTTTGTGGTTTACTGGTCCTTAATCTAGAGCCTTTAAGTGGTCAGGCTGAACATGAAAACAATCTTGTTCGTATTGCTGAGAAATTCATCCCTTCTCCCTCGTTCAAATCCTTACACCTGTATTCACCCGGTTTGTTCCCCAATACTAATGAATTTTCGTCAACACGTTTGGGGGTGTTGTGTGCAACATCTGTAGGGGCTGCTATGTTTCGTTGTACGCTTCGAGCATATTCTTCTGAAAGATGATACATAAATACGCGTTTTCAAGTGATCCTTTGTGGGAATTCGATCTTGGAAACCAGTCATATCTCTACAAACTAACACAGAAATTAATCTGATGCTCATTATTTAATAACTGACTACAGGAGGATGAAGTCGCTTTGAGGGGAGTTCTAGTGAAAACTCGTAACCAGTTAGGTCCACCAAGTCAGTCATTAAGTGTGGAGACAAATGCTCGTCGATGCATTGCTGGCGGTAGTGACGCTATAAATCACGGATTGACAGAAGTAAGCATTCATTGGCTGGCTAGTGGATTCCATTTGGGTAATTGAATGTTTGTCAACTGGCTCGTCTTGTAACAAGGAGCTCTTACGTAGTCTGATCCCTGTTAAGTTAGTCCCAAAGCAGTGGGACAAAACAGCTGTCCAGTACACTAGTACCAGTTTTCATTGGTTCTCTCAATGTTACCAATCTTTAGATAGATGGTTGCATTCGATATTTATACACCCGAAAGACATTATATGAAATTTTTCTCAAATATCCTCTATCAAATTTCAATTTGGATGGTTTTTTTGTTAGCTAATCATCGTAGTGCTGCAATATCTGGCTATTTCACTGGTGGTGGTCGAATGACACGATCCTATGTACAATATGACTCGTCAACAACATCAACGCGGGAGCATAACCCCACAAATATTATGGATAGTGCTTATTATTCTTCATCAAGTGGTAGTGGGCGTCAAATGAGATCACAAAAAGCATTATATTATGGTCATAGAGGACAGTTTTCTAGTACTGCTGCAGTTGAATATTATTTCAGCGATGGAGAACAAGAAGAAGAGTTGGAGAACAGATCACATGCCACTCGTCGAACAAGCAATAATTCCGATGTCAGGGCACGAAATCATGCTGTCAGTGGACGTTTTCATAAGTCGTATAGAAGGCATCCAGCGAATGTATCAGCAGCAGCAAAGTCATCAGATGCGAGCAATCCATCTAGTATTGATCATGAACAGGTAAGATTCATGTTCCACTTTGATTATCTCCCAGTAGCCACTTTTGAAGCTATTACTACTGTCTTTATATTATGTATATTATTTACGATCCCCTATCCTTACAAATTGGAACAAGATACAGGAATGCTAAGTCTCCAATCTATGACTGACTGACTAAATTTCAGCGTAGAACATATGCACAGACGCTCAGCAGGAGCTCAACCTGTCACACACTCCATGCAGCACACAAATGGTGGAGAAAAAAAGGAACTGTACTTCGCAGGAAATGTACGGTAGGAAGAAAACATGGTGGAATTTCATGAGTTCGCGAGATATTACCCAAAGAGTAAATGCATCTACGCAACGAATTCAAGTTATCCCACTCATAGTCTTCACCTATCCATTCTAAGCATTCACAAGACCCCGAGTAAACACGTAGTCAACCCTTCCTTATGTGGCTTAAACCAACTGTCAAAGACTTCATGAGCTGATGTCAAATTTTGGATTGACCATAACTAATTAACTCTTCTAGACCTGTTCCTATGTCAAGTTCACTCTTTTGTCGTATCATTTCTGAATACGGTTTTGCACTGTGTTTTTAAGTGTTAGTGTGTATACTAGGCACTTGAAATATCGCTTGTATTGCGAGGTCTTACCGTTGTAAAACGTTTGGACTTGATATTGTCTAAAAAGTAATTATATTTAGATTGAGTTTTCGTAGGTATTTAGATTAATTCAGTAACGATTTCGTCACAAACAGGCCGCATGTGACCGGCCTCAAGCAGTTGTCCCCTGGGCTCTGCGGTCACGCAACCAACTTCCACGGTGTGGGCAGCCGGGAAGTAACAAACGCCCTCACAATCCGAAGTGCACACAAAACCTCTCTAATCCTCACTTATCTTTGTCTTCATCTTCATCTCTATTACCTTGCCTTCCTCCGACTGATGCAACTCCTCTACTTGATGGCTCCTCACTCCCTCTTCACTCTGTGTCCACTAAAAACGACGAAAGCCAAAAAACCACCACCGATAGTCTTATAAAGCCACGCCACCAATTTCATATAGGAGCATTTATTATTAGGACACTTTGTCAAATAGGAAAACAAGCATCACTAGCTAAGACCCTGGCATCCCGAGCCATTGATGTATGTTGTGTTTCAGAAACACGCATACAAGACCCAAGTGCGGTTATTCACCTAACCCCACGTGGCCGACAGGATGAATCTTCAAAATTCACCTTGAGGGTGTCAGGAGATGCCACAGCCAGTTCACGAAGATTAGCTGGCGTAGGGATAGCTTCGAGTACTAGGACAGAAAAGACACTACTTGACTGGATCCCAGTAGATAGCTGAATGTGTGTTGTCCGTCTGAACGGATCAGTAAGAAGGAGAAAGGACTGCTCTACTCGCCGATGTCTTTTCGTAATCTCCGCCTACGCCCCCACTGACTGCAGTTCGAATGAAACGAAGGAGGAGTTCTACCAAAAGCTGTCTAGTTTGGTGAGAAAGGCTAAACGCTCAGACATAGTCGTTCTAGCTGGTGACTTTAATGCTCAAGTAGGGAAATTGTGTAAATCTGAGAAGGTTGTCGGTGGCACCTATGGAGTTCCGTGCCAGCTAACCGACAACGGTGACCGTCTACTACAGTTCTGTTCAGATAATCATTTGTTTCTCGTAAGCACTAACTTTAAACACAAGGAGAGACACTGTTTGACTTGGAGACCCCCATCATCAAACCAACGCTGGACACCAACAGACCACATAGCAATAAGCTATTGTTGGCGTGGGTCGATAGGAGATTGTCGCTCCTTCTGGAACACGTGTGTAGATACCGATCACGCACTGGTCCGCGCTCGTGTGTGCTTACGACTGAACGGACGTAGGAAACAGCTGGCGGTAAACCCATCACGTCCCCAGCTCGATCAGGAAACTAAATCCCTATTCGATGAAGAATTAGCTAAACGCATATCTGAGTTCGACAGCTGTGCTCACCCTGAAGAAGCCTGAAAGAATATTCAGTCAGCTATAGATACAGCTGTAAAAACTGTGAATAAGGCAAATCCAAAGTTGAGTAAAAACCATTGGATTTCGACTACCTCATCCGAACTGATAGATGCTAGAAGACACTAGGCAACTATTTGGACACGTCAGGGAAACGGGTGGGAGAAGGCAGAACTCAGGAGGAACAGACGAGGGAAAATCAAGCAGGCTTTAGACCAGGTAGAGGGTGCATAGATCATATCTTCACTCTTCGACAGATTCTAGAACATGGACACACTTTTCGGCGTCCAACAATTGTCATATTTCTTGACTTGAAGGCGACCTTCGACTCCGTGGATCGAAAGGTACTAATGCAATGTCTGACTGTGAAGGGAGTGCCAAGAAAGTACATTGCACTAATCAAGGCACTCTATTCAAACTCACGTAGTCGTGTAAGGGCTTATGGGGAATTGTCATCTGAATCGGTAACAACCAGTGGTATCCGACAGGGATGTCCACTTTCCCCATTTCTGTTTAACTTCATCATAGATATGCTGATGGAAGTATCCTTAACTGAACGTAATGACTTAGGAATCGACTTGTTACCAGGGTATAGTCTTATGGAGTTAGAATATGCAGATGACATAGTCCTGTTAGGGGAGGATTCTGACAAAATGCAGAGTCTTCTGAACATCTTGAGCAGCAATCTTCGTATGTTTGGCATGCGATTCGCCCCTGTAAATTGTGAGATGCTACTACAGGACTGGACTACGTCAACTCCTAGCTTAGTGATAGGGAGTGAAGTGATAGAACATGTTGACCACTTCGCCTATTTGGGAAGTTGTATTAGCACCAACGGACTGATTGGCGATGAAATCTCGGCACGGATCCAAAAAGCTCGAGCTGCTTTCGCTGACTTACACCATCTCTGGCGTAGGCGTGACATCCGGTTATCAACCATGGGACGTGTGTACTGCTCAGCAGTTCGTTCCGTCCTTCTCTATGGCTCTGAAACACGGCCAATACGCGTTGAAGACATGAAAAGGTTGACTGCTTTCGATCATAGATGTCTGCGATCCATGTCTCACGTTAGGTGGTTTAACAAGGTAAGTAATGTTGACGTTAGGCGTAGAGTGTTGGGCAAAGAGGGAAAATCAATCGACGAGGCTATAAAGTTACATAGACTAAGATGGCTAGGTCGCGTGCTGCGCATGCCTAACCACCGCCTCCCCCGACGGGCATTGCTAGCCGATATAGGTGCAGGTTGGAAAAGAGCCAGTGGTGGCCAAACAAAAATATGGCCTCATCAATCCATGAAATCCTTGACAGTTAAACTGAGTCAGGTAGGGAGATTCAGACTTCCGGGTTGGAGCCCTCGGGACTCTAGGAATCAATGGCTGGAGACAATAGGTGACATGGCTCAAAATCGTTGTCAATGGCCAGCGCAGATGTATTCAGTCTCTGTAATCTTTCATATTCCTTTCTACCATTACCCATTCTGTTTCACTCGTATACTTGTCAAACTCTATTGATTCTCTTCACTCATCTTCTTGTCTACTTTTGTGTGCTATTTGGAACGTGGCAACTCGAAGTGCTGCACTTCGGTGCCAAGTTCTATGTTGAATCCAGACAGAGAGAAACTATGTTAGGACAAAGCCGTACAGCTGACGAATGGAGTGTTTCAGATATATCAGGAAAAAAATAAATTTGAAGTATTCATAAATTTGAAGTATTGGCTAGTTGTCGATTGACGACTTAGATTAGGCACTTGGCAGTGACTAATTTCATGCGCCTAGTCCGTTGGTTGGTACAGATTGAGTGCTATCAGTCAAATTTGTAATGCAACCACCATTACCCATTCTGTTTCACTCGTATACTTGTCAAACTCTATTGATTCTCTTCACTCATCTTCTTGTCTACTTTTGTGTGCTATTTGGAACGTGGCAACTCGAAGTGCTGCACTTCGGTGCCAAGTTCTATGTTGAATCCAGACAGACAGACAAAATTGTTATTTAGTTGACGAATAAGGTGCTTGATGATAACTATTTTCACTGTGTTGCTGTTGAACAGTACTACCTCCGTCTCTTAGTTTCATAATTATCTTATTCGTGGTAGGTTGTGTCTGAACAATAATTGTAATGATTCTCCGTCTTTCTGTTGGTTTAGACAACTAATACCGGAGAGAATGTAGATGATTCGGATGTGCCTACTGTTCGTGTACCCGCTTCAGACTCCAGTGGTTATATGAACCATTATACACATCCACGTAGCAATAATCGTCACGGTACACAGAAAGTATTAGCTCTGTCCAAACGTATTACAACTAATCGAGCTAGCCAACATCAACAACAGCAATCTAAACGTCTGGATGGCTCTGCGGCCGTTCTTAGTTCTCGTCGTTATCGGGAGATGCGTGACCGATACAATGATGATGAAAAAGACGATGATGGCGGTGGGGCAGCTGCTGGTGGCGGTGGTGCTGGGAGGTCAGCTGCTTCAGGAAGTGGTGGCAATTCCACCTCGGTGATGTATAAAGGCGGTGGTGGAAGTGGTACAGGTAACAACAGTGATACTCGTGGTGGGAATCAGAGCGGCAGTGGTGGTGGTCACAGGGATTCCACGACTGTTGATTTTGTCGATGGAGAAAATCTTCCCGATACTAATAGTTTTATGGTGAACACGGGGACCGGCGAAGGACAGCAACTAGGAGATGAAAATAATGTGGCTTCACGTTCTACGCAACGTCGACGGCAGATAACAGGTAAATAGTATATATATATATATATATATATATATTGTGTGTATTGTTTTTTATTGCTAGTTTTACTTTGTAAATTTACGTATATATTTATTCCACTTATAGCGAAGAATCAATATGTGACGCTTAAATGAATACTTTAAAAGTGAAATAGTTGACTTGTTCGAACTGTATCACGAAAAATATAGTATATGAGGGAGGTGCAGACAATTTATCTATCTATTTAGTAGGAGAGTCCTCGGGCTATGTTTAGAACCAAGTGACTGGAGGACTGTTGCATCCTATCTCCCGTATGTTACGTGTTATAATATGCTGAGTAATATTAAGAATGGGTGGGGGAGAGGGGCCAATCGATGTGGTTTTTAAGTTACATTGATCAACTTGGCTAAGACATATGTCATGCACGACAAGCCATTGACTGACAGGATTAACCCAGGTGATTCAAACCGGGTATGCCTCTACTTAATGAGCTTGATTATAAACGAGCGAAACGGTTATCTGATGAAGTTTAGACCACTTCGATTTTGCTGGCCAGCAATCGCTACTTTTTGATTTGTGAGTGGTATACATCTGCTCCTCCATCTCAGTCAATCAGTAGTATATGGTGATTATGCATGTATGATTGGTTCCGTGATTATGAAGTCAAGCCAATTACGTATTGATTTCTGGAGAATTTTGGTTTGCATAGGAATATATAGCGAAATTTCACCACAAACTGCGTTAGTTGCGAATGTGGCATAGGGTTTGTTTAAAAAAGGGTTGACTCGCTGATCGAATCTAAAACCTAGCATCAGTCCAAGGCAGTTGTTTTGAACAGGCCATCTCAGGCTGGTTGGATTCTTGATAACGCTAAAAACCATTGGCTGAGAACTGTTGGTGATATAGCTTACCTTCGTTGCCATAGGTGCGGATATATTCCTTCACTTCCAACAAATTCTCTCGCTTTTTCATGTTAGTATTCTGTCTCCTTTGGCTTTTTTGCCAATCCAGTTATCTGCTTAACTTTGCCCCCTGAAGCCTGCTGTACATCACTCCGCCCAATACACTTACCTTGATCGATGCAAAGCGTAGATTCGCTCCCCAAAACTACGCGTTTATGCACTTTTCCTACGACATATCCCCTTAATAAAAGTATATTTGTTGCGTAATATCTAGTTTTGATATCGTTTGAACTACACTTTCGTAACTAACGAGTGTTACCAGTTATTGTGAAGTTTGTAAGACTATTGGATGTAGGAATGAGTGATAACCACATTTGAGACATGCATTCATGTATTACACATTGGTTTAATAAGACTTGTTTGCTATCTGAATAGTCATGGAAATGTTTTAGGCTTTGCTAATTTCAGTCGTTAGCAGTGGTCCTAGTGTTGATTTACAGTAAATGCTTCTGTTTGTAAAGGCCAGTTGGTTAAGGTGACCAGAGTAAAATACACAGAACTAAGGAGGAAAACGAAGTAATATTGAAAATCAATAAAGTTTTACTGGATATGAAAAATCACAAAGAGTGGATGCATATGCGCCACTGAGAACTTGGATCTTGAGACATATCACCAATTGTTTCCAACCATTGTTTTTTACCGTCCCGAGGACCCCAACCAAGAAGTATACGCCTTCCTCCGTTGCTTCCATGTTTTGGTTTGACCACCACTGGCTCTTTTCCCACCTGACCCTATGTCAGGTAAGATTGCCCGTCGAGGAATGCGATGGCTAGGCATGCATAACACATATCCTAACCACCTCAATCAATGTAACTTCACAGCCTGGTCTATTGATTTCCCCTCATTACCTAGCACTCGGCCGATGTCTAACCTCAATATTGCTCACCTTATTATACCACTTCACACGGGAAATAGAGCGCAGACACCTATGATCAAAGACAGCTAATCTTTTCATGTCTTCCACTCTCAGTGGCCATGTCTCACAGCCATAAAGGAGGATGGGGTGGACTGCTGAGCAGTACATACGCCCTTTGGTTCATAGCCAACTGGATATCATATCAACGTCAGAGATGGCGTAAGCTGGCAAAAAGCGAGTAGTGGTCAAACTAAGACATGGCATCAGCCCATGAAGTCTTCGACTGCTGGTTTTAGTCAGTGAGGTAGGGAGATGTGGACTGCTTTGTTTGAGGTCCTCGGGATTCATTGATGCCTTGATTATATACAGTTGGCGATATGGCTCGAAGTCATCCTGAAAGGTACAGGTGTATTCACTGCCTGTGATCATTCATATCTACTAAACCGTTATGCTTTTAATGATGTTCCTTCTTGCACCCTAATTTTTGCGCTTATTGTAGTTATTTTGGAATTGTTTTCTCCTCATCTACCATTGTGTGCCACATGGAGTATGTCAGGTTGAAGTGCTATTGCACTTCTGTGCTAAGATTTGTGTCTAAATTTAGTCACTCGGTTCGATAAGAGCAGTCATGCACACACACACACACACACACACAGTTCATCTTAGGATGTTGCATCTTAGGGATTATTTTGCTTGTGCTAAGAATCCTTTTGTAGAGTAAGTGTTAGTATCTGACTTTTGAAAGCTTGATTTTTAGATTACTGATCGTTTTGTAGAAATCGCTTCACTGTTATCATTCTCTATTGACAACTATGTTTGCGTATTCAACGCCCTTGTGGTAACTCCTTTAACTTAAAGCTGACATTCTGATGAAATACTGATATTAAATGAAAACTTCAATAAATTAAAACCCCACAAGTGTAAATAAATTTCTACTTATACATGTAGTTCAGAAGTTGTGCAGTTAGCTGAATTGTTTTTCTGTGTCCGTAACATTTGGTGTATGTGAAAAAAATTCGAGTTGACGACTATGTTTCGACAGTTCTTCATCACAAGAATAATGTATTTTCCCTACGTGTTTCATCATTTTAAGATTGTTGGAGTTGTGGGTATTCATTGATCCGGCGTGTTCGACTTCCAACAAACAAACAGCGGGTAACAGCTTTGAACCGACTCCCTCTATGTACTAAGAATGCTTTAGGCAGCTAGACACAGGTATCACTTAGCTCTCTCTTTCACATACGCATACAGTAGCATGTGGCTCATACCTGCGAACCATACCTAGTGAAATGCAAGTGGTTGTTGAGTTCCGCCGTAAGACCGATTAAGTACTCTGGTTTCTGGATCGTGATCTAACCCACTGTTATTGTTCACTAAGTGTCTGGTGTATTAATCTTTTCCAGTGGCGACAACGGGCAATATAAGCGATACAAATGATGTTGATGAATGGGAGACAGCGTCTGAAGGGTCATATTGTTCAGAAAATGGTCATAATAACAACAATCCAGCAAATATGTCGTCAACTGCTGTTACTTCTGGCGCTGCTACAAACAATCAGAAAGAATTTTCTCAGGCTTCCACTTCCTATCGTGTAAAAAGTGATCTAAAAGCTTCAGATAATACTACATCATCCTCTGTTGTCTCCAAAAATCATCAGGTATCAAGTTGTCATGTTGCTGAGGGTGCAACAACACATGCTCATCGTGATCATGATGACGATGATACAGGAGGTGGGGGTAGGTGTGCATGTCTTGGATGGTTTCAGCCTTCCTCATCGTCTTCTGTAGTGGTAGTAGTAGTAGCCTAGTGTTTTTAACCCTTTGTTTATTCTGAACGTCAAACTTATTATTGCATGTAAAACAGTAAGAGAAAAGTTAATTTTGCATGCCGTCAGATATTGTTTAATACTAACTTAAGTTATATTTCGTTTTGAATGCATGCGTATGTACTGGCGGGGCTTTCAATAAACAAAACTCTCAATACCTGCCTTACAGATATTCGTTCAGTTGAGTGAGATTTATCATAGGTTTGATTACCAGGGAGTACTGAACTGCTGTGTCGTCCTCCTAGTTTGGGATTCGAACAACCATTCGGGTCACCTGGTTACAAGGTGAGAACTTTGGCAACCATCAGCCACTGGAACTTGGTCCATTGGCCGACATGAATTCCAACTTTTGCAGGTAACTGTCCTTCTACCTGACTTGGTGGACCTCACTGGTGGTGACGAACACCTCTTGTGGAACACTGAATGGCACCAGCCGAGTATCAAACCCCTGTGACCAATCAAGTCGTTGGAAAGCAAAACCTGATGTATTTATATCTGGGGGTGTTTTTTGTAGAAATTCTTTATCTTGATGGTTGTAGAAGAAAGAATCAATATTTACGGTGCAACTATGTTACTGTGATTCAATCAGTCTGTAACTGTCTATTATTTATCATGTGTTACAGGTACAGTGGCTGGACCCGCTAACCAGACTGAAGGCACTGGTAATGGTGGTGTATCGACATCTCCATCATCTTCAAAAAAGACCGAGAAATCTTCGCGCTTCTCACGGACCGCTGGGTCAAGTAATCATCAGCATACTTACACTACTGCACATCGTAGTTATCCACGGATTTCAAGAACCACCAGTAGTACTACTACCTACAACAATCATGCTAATCATCATAGACGGAATAATGATAACTATGACTATTACTACTACGGCTACAACTATGACTACTACTATAACTACCACAGGTATTCAACAATACCACCATTAATGTCTGTTAAACCAAATGTGTCCTTATCAGAAAATACCTACGATTTAGATACATGGACTACTATTAATGGTAAACGTTCTTCTGATGATCGTAAAACTGACACAGTTGGCGGGACTACTACAAAAGATGTTGGTCTCGAGAAGAAGCCTGCACAATCATCGATTGAAGAAAATGAGCAGTTCGGCAAACAATTTCATCAACCTGCTGGTGTTGATTATGATAATGACGATGTGGAAGATACTTCATTTGTGAGTGGCGATGGATTTACTAAAGTTGTTTCAAAGTCGAGTAAATATTTTGCCCGTCGAAAGCTACAACAACAACAACGAAAAGAAGAAGAGGAAGGGTTAGTTAAAGTCACCTCTAGTAATAGCGAGGGCAGACCAAAAAAATCTGGTACGTCGTTATATAATACAAAAACGCATAGTAATCCTGTCACGCGAACAGTGTCGTTGGCGTCTAGTCGTGCACAAAATCAGACAGACACGGTGATGACAACGACTTCTGATTCCAAAAATCTGCCGAATGGATTATCTCCAATGAAAAAAAAATATCTGCCAAGTAAAATAACATTTATGGGTCCACCAATGTCATGCTTAGAAGTATCTGAGAACGTTGGTAATTCGATAACAACAGCAGCTTATAATCAGCCTATTACAACATGCAATAGTGCCTGTACTATTTCAACGATATCCACTTCGTCAGTATTGCAGAAAATATCTATTTCAACCACAGCAACGACAACAACCACGCGTACATGGTCAAAGGTAGTTGGGACAAAGTTTGCTAAAACTCCTCAGCCAACGTCAGCACTATCAGGAAATCCTATTGATGAATCAACTCATAAAGCCTCGTCATCATCATCGAATTCAGTTTGGCAAACCGATCAAGTCAAACAGATTGTGGGAGTGATGAATAGTAATAATAATACTGAACCGCAAAACACTCATGGTGATAATATGCTTCCGAAGACAAACAATAGCAGCACCACATCAGATACAACAACCAAGACTATTGCGACAACGATCAATAATATGCAGTCTTTATGGTCAACGAGTGATGATTCTCTTGTTAATAAGAGTAACAACCGTACAAGTAAAAATGATCTCAACACTTCTATTCCTACCGCGACTACGACTACTACCGTTATTTCATCGGTAGTCAGTCCATCGTTGTCAACAACCGCTGCCGCCTCTTATTCGTCATCATCTCAAATATCGAATAATATATGCAAAGTAAAACCTCAACAACAGCTGTTACAAACAACAGCGCCCATCTCATCGTCCCTAGTGTCCAATTCTATGATGTCTGTCAACCCGCTCAGTCCAAATAATATTGTCCTGATGGAAAATGTTACGAATATTGCAGCCGCTACTGGCACAGACATGGTGATGATGATGGCTTCCGAGCCATTAGAAAGATCAGATTATGATTGTTGTAGTGATGTTGGGGGTGGGGGTGGTCAGCATTCGACGAATACAACATTGTTAAGATCACATGCTACTTCTGAAGGTGTACTGCCGTCATCGTCTTCATTATCAAATGTATCGTTTCAACCTTGGGTATCACCCTCACAGAGTGCATTTTCTTCAGTGAATAATCCATCTCTGTCATCAACCACCACTATCCCGTTGATGAATCGACATGACGCAACAATGTTTTCAACAACACCAAGTTTATGGCCACCAATGTTGGATCAACAAAATATTGTTGATATGATGAATATTAGTTGTTTAACAGGTGGTAGTACTTCTTCATCCTTTGTCGGTGGTGGTCATCCGAGTCACTTGGTATCAAGTGTCCTGTCATCACATAATACTAACAGTGGTATCACTATGTCATCTCTTGATGGTTTGAACAAACAGCCCAGTAGTATCTCTAATTCACCCCGGCAACAACACCAGCAAGCACACCAGATACATTCTTATCAAAATTCTGTTTTACCATTGACGTCTGATCGACTGAATATCTATTCAAATGGTCATTATGTAAATAATAATAACACTAATAATAATAATTCGCCGGAGATGCAAAAATTGTCACAACAGATGACATATGTCTCCGGTGTAGGAGCTGCAGCAACACCGTTATATGTTCATCCTCAGTCAACAACAATACAACCACCAGTAATGCCAATGACACCACAGTCAGCACATTCACGTTCTTTTCATCAATCACTTCAACCACAAATAAGTCAATCAAGAAAATGTCGACAGATGCCGCCTCAGCCAGCACCACATATGGATCCGAATACGTTTGCCGCTGCAAATGGATATACTGGTTATCCTACAGATTTAAAGGTACGCTATGATTATTATCTTTGTGATAAATGTTTTACGCTCCGGGTAGACGAAATATGGAGCTCTGACTTTATAGCGGGTTGACATTCTACACTGCTCCACACCACACACTCCCTCCTTGTCTGTTTTCTGCGCTCATTATTCGCAGTCTAACCACGGTGCACGTCGAGGGTGCTCATGTCAGCTAGTGTAAATGACTGGCTGAATTTCAACGGTAGTTCGAGTTGCCACACTTTCCACATAACACAGTAGAGTAGCAGTGCAAATTTACAGGAGGAAGGAAAAATAATAATATACAGAAAAACACGACAGTTTAATGAGTCTTGGAGGTAGGTCACAATGAGAGGAAGTTTGAATCTATCGATGACATGTTCAAGCTATTGCTGCTTAGTATTCTGAGGTCCGCAACCTGGTAGTGTTCACTCATACCTACATGTGTGGCTCAAACCAAGTGTCAACGTGTTCAAAAATTGATTCCAGGGTTTGCTCAATCATGCTGTCTAATCTTTTCCAACCTAATCCTGTGTCGACGTTACTTATCAAAGAAGGTGGTTACTCGATATGCATAACATGTGTCCTAGCCGTCACATTTTCTTTGATCGTACATGTCTATTTCAGCAGTAAGCAAAGACATTATGCATATTTATATTGGACTTTGTAAGCGTTCAGTGGGTCGAAGGTTCACAGCAGCGGTCCTTCAGTGTATCCCTAACTTCACCTAGCCGACAGTAGGCCCGATGACAGAAGGTAATCTGTCGTAAGTCTAGTAACCTCACCCTAAAAAAAATATAACACCACAGCTATTGGAACTTTGATGCTTAACTCCCTATTTTCTACTCGCAAGTCTGTCTGTCTGTCTGGATTCAACATAGAACTTGGCACCGAAGTGCAGCAGTTCGAGTTGCCACGTTCCAAATAGCACACAGAGGTAGACAAGAAGATGAGTGGAGAGAATTAATAGAGTTTGACAAATATAGGAGTGAAACAGAATGGGTAATGGTAGAAAGGAATATGAAAGATTACAGAGATTGAATACATCTGCGCCATTGACAACGATTTTGAGCCATGTCACCTATTGTCTCCAGCCATTGATTCCTAGAGTCCCGAGGGCCCCAACCCGGGAGTCTGCATCTCCCTACCTGACTCAGTTTAACTGTCAAGGATTTCATGGATTGATGCCAAGTGCAAGGAAGTAAATAAAGTTGTACAGCTCAGTTTCAAAGATTGTCTAGTTTCATTAATACACAGATTTTGAAACACAGACCTTATCAATGAGTGTAATATCCAGCATAATACTGCTTCTTTGGGTGTCATTTGATTTCGTTGGTCAGGGAATGTCGAGGGAACCTCTATCTCTGATGAATAAGTAGTGTCATTACAAGATTATTAACCCGGGAATTCGAACTGGATATAGTTTCAAAGGGAGAGACGTAGACCAAAGTTTACCCATCCCACCTTTGATCGTGTCAGGTGGTCGATGTTGGGGGTCTACGGGAATTCAGAATTTGTGAAGCCGTATACTTCACTGAGATTAATACAGTGTACAAATAATACATAATATTTATTTTTTCACTTTTAGGGTGAATTTAACTATCCTCCATCTATCGCTGCTGGTTGTTTGCCTCCTCAGCCGCCGCCACCGCCACCTCCTACTGCCGGCTTGTACTCTGCTATTCATGCTCATTCACAACCACTACAGAATTATCCACAGAATTCAGGCAGACCTAGTGTTGTTGGCTACCCCACAACAGTGAATTCATGGTCTCTGTTAGGCAATCCTTCGGCTGCCGCTGCTGCTTCAAATATTCAAGGTACAGGACAACCGTATGCTCCAACTGCAGGAAATAACGCTGGTGGACTGCTGCCTCACCCTGTTGTTCATCAAGGTGGTGGTTATAATAATACACAATGTCATTTCCCAACTCCTATCACGTCGAATTCTGTCTCTAACTATGCGAATCAGTCAAATTATGTTGGTGTGATTGGTGGCGGTCGACCGAATACTGCGACCGCTGATCGACAACGTAGTTTACAACAGCATCACAGTTTATTTACTCATCCACCGCTTCCGCAATCACCGTCCGCTGCTGCTGCAGGACAAGGACAACAACAATCATTCCAGCTACCGTCCAACTTTTATCCATCCATTTCACCGTCTCATCATCAACGTGTTTCACTACAACAATTCAACAGTACATCGTCACGTTCAGGACCACCCATGAATCCACAAGGTGGACTTTATGGTCCTCCACCTCAGGCTGCTGCATTTGGTGGGGCTTCTCATCACCATCAGCCGACACCACCTCCTCCACCGATGGGACATCATCCTCACCATCAATTGAATCCTTTGGGTTTCTTCAACAATCCAACGTTCCAGTATCCAACTCGACCAGGTATGTCGTTACTACTTCGTTACAATTTGGCATAATAAGTGGTTAGCATTCGTTGCTATCTGTTTATCATTCAGTTCTTGGAGTGGTATAGTGGTTGAAACAGATGGAGAGAGCATCAGTAGTGTGTTGTCACGCGACCTTAGAGACAGTGAGACGACTACTCTAGGGTTGGTCATACTCACGGTTTTTGAAGAGTTGCATGTTTATACAGAGTACATCTTAACACTGTAAGGTGGTGACAGTGGTAAGGTGAGCTGGCATAATTTTCATTGTTGTCCGATGTGACATCTGCTGACTGGTAGTCGCGTCGTGAATCGTGAATCGGCCATTGCATCGGATCCATTGACTGAATAAAATGGCCTAAGGGAGTCTCTTAATAGCCATTGTATGTAATGTTGTATGTATTCTCACAATAATTTCGGTGGGACAGGCTAAAAGTATTAGAAAGTTATATAGTTATAGAGGTTAATCACAGTCAGCGAACAAAAGGTTTCTCACTTTAGAAATATTAGATTTTGTGAAGATTTAGGTCTACTGTAGATTTTCATATATGTACTTCAAGTGAATGATGTCATTTAGAGAACTTTTAGAAAACCCAGGAGTACTGGACGCTTGGTTCCTCTTTATTTTGACCTCACCGGTATTAAGTACCCATGCTTACACCGGGGATCGTACCACCCTACTCACTTTCAGATAGGTCACAAGACCGGGCTAGTTGATCACTCTGTTACTTAGGCCGCAGTTTAGTAACCCGTGAACTATCATTTCGTGATTTTTGCACGAACACTAGTCATTTTCAGCAGCGAGTATTTGGCTTCACATCCCGCTCAGTGGATGGATAAACACCATCGGTCCCGGCTTCTCCGGAAGACTTCGCCATTTATCCATTTATATATATAGGGCTCAGAGATTCCCCACTGTTTTTGTTCCTGGGGGATTGATCATTCTATATCGCCTAGCTGAATTCTCATATCTAATCCCGTTCTACTGCAGTGTAACCTATGTTGCAACTGACTTCATGATCACTGCAGCGTATTTTGTAGATTGAATTATATTGTTTGATTGGGTCGACCTCGTAAATAACCTTCTGTGGCCAGGGATGCGTAGATTTGGGTCTCACTCTCTTAAAAAATGCTCTCATATGTCTAGGCGTTGATAACCTCTGTCATCAGGTAAGTTATCCTAATCACTTCATTCGGTGGGGTGTTTCTCATTAACACTCTTGTTCAGGCATCCAAGAGACTTCATCAATAGATATCTCCCTTCAGTCTAACCAACCAAATAAAAGACCCAAATGAGAGCACGTAGAAAGTTGTCTCACTCTCTGTAGAGAACGTCTCATAAAACATTGCAAGACTATTCAAACTTTTTGGAATTGAGGTTGCATACAAAACAACAAAATCACTTTACCCGGCTGGCTGTGTTAGCCAGAAGTCTCAGCTACGAAAGAAGATAAAAACCAACATTATCTACAAGATGAAATGTAACGACTGTGAAAAGCATCACATTGGTCATAGTGCTCACCCTCTTCGTCACCTTCACATTCGTGAACGAACACTAAACAGCCGTCAAAAGACATGGTATCCACTCCTTCATATCACTGCGTACAGACAACCTTGGACACCAAATTGGTCTAGGGTAATGTTCAGATCGTAGACTGAGGAAACTCCGAATAGTTGTCAGGGGATTTCTAGAATCCTGGTAATCATGTAAATCGGTAACTAGTAGACACAATGACATAGACAAGAATTAGCAATCCATAAGAAGGAAATCACAAGAACATGAGTTGAAACTTCAGGTCAGTGAAACAATCAGTACCAATACAAGTGGATGAGAAGATAAAGAAATACATAAACACACGCAATCGCATTCAAGGTTACTATGGGAGATTACTAACAAACTTGTGGGGAATTCTAAAAAGCTCACTTCAATTTAAAGTATGCTCTGAAGACGTTGTCCAAAAAGACATTGAAAGCTTCGCAACTAAGTCATCCAGTTCAGAGAACTCAATTACACCAAAATTTATCGGTTGCATCTAATGTTGTACTTAAATGTACTAGGTTTGTCTATTAACAATAAGATTCATTAATATTGACTCATTGTTGTTGTACTTTTTTAACAGATGGACTTCATTAGTGGATTGACGTACAGATAAGAGGGATCGGATAGACAGAATGAATCGTCGTTTTCCACATTTAGACATACGTTTTCTGATTTTGCTCTATACGAATTCCCGCGACTCTCCAGTCAGCCGCCTGAATCATCAATCTATCTACTTTTGACTCCATGTATTCTGTGTGAAGGTCAAGAATGTGTTGAATATCTAAATATTTTTCTTAACTTTCTTTCCTTCCTCCATCCACATAAGTTTGCCTGGCTAATAACCTTATGTTTTTTCTTGCAAAACAATGACAACTCAAAAAGCGAAACAGAGATTGTCTTGGTTCTTTTCAGCTCGTTTTTATCTTGGTTTGATTGAATCTTGTGCTTCCAGTTAACTATGGCTTTTTAAGAAACCACTGAGTCTTAAATCTTTGATTCTTATTTCACGTCGTTCAAGCTCTTCTTCCCACAGTGCACCAGTGAGAAATTTATTTGCAACGATGTTTGTTTAGTAATAAATAGTAGTAATTGTCACCATTGTGCGTTTGATATCTTGCGCACCCACCTCATAGCACTCGGAGACTCTTGGTGTGTAGAGATCTGCAACCGAGTGCTTTATCTCTGCCTAGCCGTTGTCGTATATGTTGCTACGCATGGCAAGGTAGACTGATTTTCTGTGTAACTAATTGTCAGTGATGATGATAATGATTTTACGTGGATCCCCGTCGCCCCTCCGTTTCATGCGGTAATTTTAATTATTATTTTTAGAGAATTGTCTATTCAATGTGTTTTGCCTGTGATTTCTGTGGAAGTTTTAAAAAGGATCTAATATCTATTCCTATGATTGTTGTACACCATTGTTTCACTTCAGTTTTTGTTTTTTGGTCGCATCCTTTTTTATCTCTCCCTGTTCTTTCCTTTTTTAATTCTTCCTTTTCTTCTTGTAAACGGCACATTACATATGAATATTTGTTTGTGCATGTGAGTGTGCGTCTTGTTTACAAAAGAAAATAAATTTAAAATGTGACGGAAAGTCTTTTGTCTTTATTTCTTACATACTGACTAGTCGACTATGGACCGACTGACATGTTATCTGTCAGTAAAACACAGTCGTCGCCTTCACTGGGTTATGACTAGGGTGAGGCGGCTGCTGAAAAATGTAAAGCCACTTTGGGGCATTTGTTAAACTTCGATTCAAAACTAATCAAATGTAATATGGATGTTGAAGGATGGATTGTGGTAAACACTGACTCAGTGTAAATTTTAGAAGTAAAGTAGTAGAACCTGTTGATGACCACCTCACTTCTTTTTGGAAGTTTTACTAAGCTTATTGAACTGATTTACGTCGATGGTTCAAAAGTGGAATGTCAACAAGCCACTAATGCTGTCCAGATGCGGTCAATGTCCAATTGTCTACGATGTTGCAAACACCCTAATGAATTGACTGTGGTTGCAGACGAAATCACGGTATCATAACCCAAAGACTCCTGTGACATTTGACAGCAACTATCGTCTCCGTCTTATATGTGATTGATTGATTAACATACAATTTGCTGTAGAAGATGTTAATAACTTGGAACCAAAAGCTAGTAAGAGCCATTGGATTTCTGCCACCTAATCTGAACTGACTCACTCAATAAGACTGGTTCCGGTGAGCCTTGATTATGATAAGGAGCGAAAGCTGCTCAATCGCTAACTAACAAGAAGCCTCCGAAACGACCGTGAACAGCGGGTGGGTGACAAAAGGAAGAGGTGGAAAAGGTATCGGCGATTCTTGATACCAGACAGAACTTTTCACAAGACCAACGATAAGTGAAACAGTCTCTGAGGAAAATGGCACTCAAGATAGACGACAAGAACGTTGGAAAGAACACTGATGATCAGTTTAGTTGGCCTACAGTCACGCTCAACCTGCTGATCATCCAACACCTCCCTGATTGGGATATAGACACAGGTCCTCTGTCCTTAACTGTGTTAACTAAGGCTGTTACTTGTCTGAAACTAGGCAAAGCAGCAGGATCTGATGGTATGACTCTAGAGTTGTTTAATGATGGTGGGGACAGTTTACTCTCTGCGTTAACTGAGGTACTAGGCAGCATCTGGGAATCAGGAAGTCCCGTCGGGTTGATGTAAGTCATTGATTATCCCCATATATAAGAAGGGAGACAAGTCTCCCTGTGATAATCACAGGGTTATCAGCTTGACTGATATGGTATCTAAAGTTCTAGGCTCGATGTAAACGCGTAGACTAGGTGCACGGGAGGAACAAACACGAGAGAAACGGGCAGGCTTCAGACCAGGAAAAGGGTGTAGTGATTATATATGTTGAACTCCTAGAGATTCTGGAACATGGTCATACTTTCCAGCGTCCAACAATCGTTATATTTCTTGACGTAAGGGCGGAATTCGGTTCTGTCGACCGAGGTACTATGGCGATGTTTGGCTGTGAAAGAAATGCCGAGAAAATACATTGCACTGGTCAAGGCAGTCAGCCTACTCGAACCCATGCACCCAGATGAGAGCTTATGGTGCATTGTCATCTGAAGTGGTGACGACTAATGGCGTCCGTCAGGGATGCCCATTATCCCCGTTTCTATTCAATTTCATCATAGATGTACTAATGGACCTAACCCTAAGTCACTTCAGCGACTCAGGGGTTGACTTGTTATCAGGGAATAATCTCGTTGACTTAGATGCTTCAGAGTCTTCTGAACACCTTGAGATGCAATCTACGAATGTTTGGGATACGATCCGCTCCCACCAAATGTAAGATAGTGAGGCTATATAACAGACTACTTTGACTCAGCTTAAGAAATAAAGAGTGAAGTGGTAGAGCGTGTTGACCGCTATTCTTATTTGGGGAGTCGCATCAACCTCAACGAGTTGATCGCTAACGAAATCTCAGCTCGAATACAGAAGGCTCGTTTCGTATATGCCAGTTTACGCCATCTCTGGCTTAGTAGACGTGATATCCGGTTGTTGATCAAAGGACGTGTTTACTCCTCAGCAGTCCACCCCATCCTCCTTTATGGCTGTGAGACATGGCCACTGAGAGTGGAAGACATGAAAAGATTAGCTGTCTTTGATCATAGGTGTCTGCGCTCTATTTCCCGTGTGAAGTGGTATAATAAGGTGAGCAATATTGAGGTTAGACATCGGCCGAGTGCTAGGTAATGAGGGGAAATCAATAGACCAGGCTGTGAAGTTACATTGATTGAGGTGGTTAGGATATGTGTTATGCATGCCTAGCCATCGCATTCCTCGACGGGCAATCTTACCTGACATAGGGTCAGGTGGGAAAAGAGCCAGTGGTGGTCAAACCAAAACATGGAAGCAACGGAGGAAGGCGTATACTTCTTGGTTGGGGTCCTCGGGACGGTAAAAAACAATGGTTGGAAACAATTGGTGATATGTCTCAAGATCCAAGTTCTCAGTGGCGCTAGTTCCGTATTAGTTTGTTTATTAGATGTATCACACAGTGAAACAGTATTATTTACTAGATGACATTTTGAACACAATTTATTGTTCATAATCATATCAATTTTGATCACACGACTTTGAAATTTTAGTTTTATAGTTTTCTTTGTCTTCTATTTGTCGTCGTTGGGGCAGTTAGAATTTTCCATATATCTGGGACAGTTGTTGAATCATTTCTATTATATGTATTTACAGTTGATTCGATAAACAAAGCTTCTGTTATCAATCTCTCCTTATACCCTGTGACCTTAAATTTTAAAACTGTCATCTTATCTCATCCTATTTTATGGTTGTGTGTAATTGCATGTAGTGCTATAACTGAACTATTCTCTAGATTTCTTATCTTATTTGTGTCAGCTAGTCTGACTGCCCCTGTTCTACTATGACCTATGCATTTGACGTGACAATCAATGCAGGCAGGGTATTAGGTAAACTAAGTTGTTTTGTTTTAAAGGCTCCACAGGATCCTTTAACCGTTCCTACTGATCGAATGAGATGAGCTGTTGTCCACCACTCATATCGGCCACAGACGACAGAGCGAGCAAGAGAAACAGCTCTTCTGCGTTTTCAATACTCCGATCTGGTTGGGAAGCGCATCTGTTTGATGTGAGCAGTATACAACTACTCATCATCTCAATCACTCCAAAACTATACACTTCTCCGAACCTAACTCTGCTGTCCATCCAGTCTCAACTCACCATATTATTCCACTCAACACACGACAGACGGAACTCAGATATACATACGTGTGACCAAATGCACCCAGCCAGCCTTTTTCTACCTCCCTATTAAGCAGGTAAAAACGGACAGAGCAAGTGTTGTGCGGTTCAGACGTCCTTTGATCCATTCAAATATATCAATGACATCTAAAAAAGAGACGTTAGTTGTTGTCAAGTGTCACACGAGTCTTTTTGTATCGATGTAATGATTACATGAGGAACCATAGTGAACCCATCACGTTTGATTCAATTTGCTAGTTAAGTAAAGTGCAGTGGTCAGTATATTCAGCCAATTCTCTGCCTATCTTAAAATTAGGATTCTTTGCAAACAAGTCCCGTGGGATCAGCTTACCTACATTCAGCAGAGTCTAATCTCACACTCCTCAAGTCTTTGTCGACCTCATTCAACAGCTATGTGACAATGCCACGCATCAGATGATCCACAGCTGAGAATTCAGCGAGGCGTTCAAAGTGCATACAGGAGGAAGACAAGGCTGCCTGTTAACACCGATGATATTCTTAATTGTGGTGGACTGGATTATGCGTCAGACTTTTGGGGGCGAGGAGTCAGGAATACATTGGACGACTGGATTTCGCAGATGATATATGTCTAATGTCACACAAACTCGGAGACTTGCAGGCAAAAACCAACAAACTGGCTGAAGAGGCATGGAAAACAGGACTGTAAGCGAACACAGAGAAGGCGGATGTAATGAAGACAACCGACCACCACCAGAGATTTAATGGAGGTTACCTCCTTCACTTATCCATCCAGGAAGCATCGTTTCAACTACAGACTGCGAAACGGATGAAGATGTCCAATCTAGTCAGAATCGGAAAGGCAAGATACCCCTTCATCAACCTGAAACCAGTTTGGAAATCTTCTGCACCCAGCCAGCATAAGGAACAAGATTCGGATTTTACACAACAATGTGATGTCGGTCAGTTATTCTATACGAGTCAGAAACTTGGTGTGACACAAGGATTTCCAACAGGTTGCATACTTTCATCAACAGCTGCCTTCGCTCCATACTGAAGATGAAATGGCTGACCAGAAAGAATAAGCAACAAGAAGCCGATTGCTCAACAAATCTGTAGGAGAAAGTGGAGATATATTATTCAAGCATACATTGAGGAGGCCGCCAAATGACATCGCACGCCAGGCCCTGGTGTGCAATCCCGTTGGGAAACGACGAGTGTGTCGTCCTTGATGGACATGGAGCAGATCGTGTGAAGAAGAGACCAGACAGTTTGATCAATGGTGGACCTAACTGAAGAGGTTGACAGAAAACAGAACAATGTGGAGGTGTTATAAGTATAAAACTTGGGCACTGTGGTACAGTATATGTCCATTATGGATAAGATTTTATTTCGATAAACCACACTGTTGTACAGTTATATTAACTGATATATATATATATATATATATATACATATATATATATATATATATGATATATAATATAACTGTAGAACACTGTGTGATTTATCGAAATAAAACCTTATCCATAAAGTGGAGGTGTGTTGCTGAAGCCCTATGTTCCACTCGGCACGCAAGGAAATAATAACATTAGAATAATCTCATACTCAGTATCCTGAGATTACTGTTCATTTCGATCATCAGTGTAACTAAGATGAATGAAGATAGGTGTTTTTGATCCTGAAATGTATTTATTTTTCCTGACGATGAGTTTTTTTATTTGCCTGAATGGTCTAAGTAGCACAAGTACTTTCGGAAATTATTGAATAAGCACTTGACTTGATAAATAGCGTGCCTTGCGTATCCGTCAACATTTTTTAGTTTCTGTAAATCTTGTCAAATTATTCGCAACTTGAGTGTACAGAAAAGTAAAAAATTCCGAATATGCATATTATTTCTTCAATAACAATAATAAGGATAATAGTAATAATATTGATTTATAAATCAAATTTGGCGTGTGTGTAATTGTCTTCTAGAAGGGTACCTGCATTGTATTTCGAGGGCAACAAAAAAAACAGGAAGGAGGCGAAAACATGAATATTTCTAATATACCACCACCAATCAATCAGTCAATCGATTTTAAACAGAAAGCTATTTTGTGATTGGTTGTAAAATGCAATACAGTCTGTCTGTCTAGCTTGCCATCATTTATGTATGTAATTGCTAAAATCTGATTGGTAGATGTATATTGCACATTTGAAATTGCAGTATTAGCATTTTCCCGTTCTTCTTTTCTGCTGATTAGAATCGTAGACACATGCAGACAAACAAACAGTCATTCTGTCTCATCCCCATTGCGTTATAATGTATCTGTTGTGTGTAATTGTATGTGTTTGCTTATTTGTTTATCATGTGTTTTTGATTTTTCTAAGCATCTTCTTCAATATAATTTGATGACCTATGTATTGTCTCGCGATATTCAATCTCTTCACCACCTCTGTCGTACAGAACTAAACAGACGGCAATACCAAGAATAACGATACCACAGCAGACAATAATTAGAGACCAACCGACAGTGATTATTGATTGGTTAGTATTAGTACTAGTACTACTTCTCCCATCAGACATCATCTTTCTGTCATCACGATTGTTGTCCTCAGCACTTGTAATCGCCAACAGAATGACTCCCAGTAGCATTGTAATACCTATGTGTGAATTAGGGTTGAAATAAAACAGATTAATGAAAACGGAAATGAGACGAAACATTCAAACGTCAATACCACTGTCATTCTCTTGAGTTCTATGTGGAACAGCCTATTTCTATTTTCCATAGTTATCGTAAGTATTTTGTTTAGCTGGCTCCAAGGTTCTCCGTAGGCTTTCAGTCTCTGGTAGGCATGCAGTGTTATTAAATGGTCTCTTCATCAGAATGTCTGATCCATTCATCTCCATTTTTCCCGACATATTTGTTGGGTGGGCAATAAGTCTTTGGTTGGTTTGTTGCCTACCAGAGTTCTTTGTAAATTATCCCTTCCTCATGACTGGCCAGTCATCTGATCTTCACTATCCAGCTATCGAAGTGAGTAGTAACACGCTGGAAATGCTTTTCACGACTCGCTAGCCAAGTCTGTAAACCGTATGATGGAAGTACTGTCTGGCTTCTTATTCTGAATGAGGATAGCAGGTTTCCACACTAGTTTCAGAATAATGGAGGTCTGTCTTGCTTTCCCGATCCTCACTGGCTAGTTTTTACATCCTCATCTGCGCATCTTCATCTCTGTCTTCTCTATGTTCATTTGAAGTCCTATCTTTATTGCCCATCTCATCTGCCTACTGGTTGAATGTCACCTGTAGATCTTCAACTTTGTATGACATTAGACATACACAACCCTCAAAGTTCAAGTCTTTTACCCTGTCGTCTTGCTCTCCAATCACGGTGTGTTACATGTTCCAGTTGACCACCAGAAACAGAGATGTCATCTTGGGTGACAGTAGTCAACCTTATGTAGCACTGACAAAAATTAAACTGTAAGATGTGGACTCAGTGGATAATTTGTGCCTAATGTCACACAATGAACTTGAAGATCCACAGACGCAAACAAAGCAAACATGATGTTAGAAGATGTAGGGAAGACAAAATTTCATGTATACATAGAGAATACTGAGGTGATGAAGATGAGAAAAGATCAATAAAAATGAGCTGCTATCATTCAGCATTAATGGCAGAAATCCAAAGCAAGTTACCTCTTTCACTTTCCTGGACAGGTAGTATCGTTTCAACTACAGGTGGTAACACGAATGACGATGTCAAAGCCAGTCAAGGACTGGAGAAGTGACACAAACCTTCATTATTCTAAAATCACTCTGGAAATCCACTGTACTGAGCATAAGAAACAAGATACGGATTTCCAAAGCTGATTTCAAATCGGTTAATGCTTGGATAAAATTCAGTGACTAGCCGCTTGCGTTAGATCATGCTGCAGACAGAATGTCGAATGGAACTTGAATGAAAAGTATGCGACGAGTCGTGCGTTGACCGGAGGATGAAAAGTAGGAGATCATGGGAAGAGGAGGAAGTGAAACATCGGGGCAACCGAAAGAAGCCAGCTTAAAAAAAAGACTGTAGAGAACTAGGAGGAGTGGAAATAGGCCGTTGAAACCCCCCTTTTTATTAGGATCACAAGCGAATCTGTTAATTCCACCAGTCAGACCATCTGACTGGAACTTTGTGATATATATTTCAAGGCTATTCACTACTATACAGTAGGTTACTGTTCACAAACCCTCTTACCTTTCAATCATTTTTCCTATCTGACGTCGATAAGTGATGAAACCTACCTAACTAGCTAATCGAATATAGTGTGTCCGAATTTTTGACCAAGACTTTTTTATTCCCTATTCAAGGTAAACACATGTGGAGAATTTTGAAGCATATTTAGTTGCATTTTCAATCCCTTCTGATTGTATCAAGGATCCATTCGCTGCCTAAATGTGACCAAACGTTAGTATTTCTTTCCTTAAAAAACGAATTTACTGATTTTATAGACTGACAACTTCTCTCCGACTGGTGATTGGACAATACTACTGAAATCTGATTGGTTGAATATGAGCTTTTCAGAGATTGGTTCATATTTATACCTATTCATCCTTACTGCTTTTTAGATAGCAGCAGATACCAGGTTTCATTAAAGCAGTGTATTAACGTTTTTATTTTTTGAATAGACGCATTTATCCAGTGTTTTATAAGTCTTGTGAACCACTTCAAAAAATAGCTGTGTTTCAATTGTGATATTTTCCTTTTTCGTTTTTTGCACACATGTATTCAGAAGATAAACATTTGAATACTTAAATTACCTTTCATATTTACTGTTTCCAAAACAAATTCACAGAAAATATCTGTTGTTACTAGTCACGTTTTTATAGGTAAGAAAACGTGCAAACGTACATCCAATATATATATATATATATATATATATATATCAAAGTAGTTGTTTCATCACGAACTAAATGCGTCAATTAGAGGTATATGGAAACCACGGAGTACCACGGTACTCCACTCGAACTCACATGGACGTGTACGAAACAGTCCATGAAAAGTTGTTATCATCAGAAATAATGATAAAAATCAGTATTGTCTTTAGTAGCTACTGTGCCCCACTTTTGTTTACTTTCATTATAGATGTAATAAGGGTTGGGGAGAGAATTTACACTGACTGACCTTAATGACTTAGGGAATAGCCCTATAGAGTCCTCCTAGGTGAATTTGCGGACAAAATGTAGAGTCATTTGAGCACTTGAAGCAGGAATCTTCAAGAAGTCTTCGACATCAGACTCCCCCTGTCAAATGTAAGATGATGCTGCTACAGGACTCTTCTAAACCTACTCCCAGTTGAAAGACAGGAGTCAGAAGTGAAATGGTAGAGTGTATTTATCATTCACCTCTCTCACTTATTTAGGAATTTGCATCATTCTGAATGAGGTGACTGACTGATCGATTACTGGGGAAATCTCAGCACGGAGACAACAAAAAGCACATGTGGCATTTGTAAACACCTAACGTCACCTCTGTCAACCTAAATGATGCCTGCACTGCACAGCAGTAGTTCACTGTCTGGCTGTGAACGAAATATAGTCATTGAAATTGAAAAATATGACTAGGCGAACTCTCTTTGACCAAAAGTGTTTATCGATGGTAAGCACTATTGAGTGTGGGCATAGAGTGTTAGGTAATAATGGAAGGTCAGTTGATTAGATTATGAAGTTGTGCGTCGATTGAAAAGGCTACGACATATATGTTGCTTATACCGAGCGATCGTCTTCCGCTATCAGTAATGTTAGCTGACATATGTCTGGGTTGGAAAAGAGTGACCCTATTAAAAATTAAAGTCACTGAGAGTAGTTAGTTTGAGCCAGTCACATAAGGATCACTAGAATGTCTGGTTCGGAACTTGGTTATGTTGAAACTATTGACAATATGGCTTAAGACCATCTTCAGTGGCTGAAATATATCCAGTCTTCGTGATCTCCACCTTATTATCCTTTCTCTCCCACATGTCTGCTCATAGTTTCCTTGTCAGTCTCACTTATCTACCTTTCTTTGCTTTTTGGAGAGTGTAGCGACTTGAGGTACTGCTGCACTCATGCCCTTATTAGTTCTATGTTGAAAATTGACATCTGTTTCCTTTTAGTTCCAAACTCTTTAGCAGTGCATACCTGTAGCATCATGCAGATTGATAAGAAGCGATCAAAAACTGAAATCAAGATTTTAAGCCAATGGCTGCAGATGTATAAGTGTTTATTCCCCAAACCTAGAATTATTTTACGTTGTGGACATGAAATAACCTTAGTGGACAACTTGTTTGATCTTGGGCAAGTTGCCAGCCAATCAGAACAATCCACTTTTTGTTTGACATGTTCGGGACTTGAGTGTGGCTTAGAATAGATAAATATGATGTCTCTTTGTTTTCAATAAAGGTCCTTACCAGGTCTTATTGGCTCCTATGACATACACATAACCCCACTAGAGAGAGAGAGAATCACAGACGACCTTCGGTTTAAAGGACCAAACTCATTCATCATTCCACCATGCTTGGGTCAGAATTCTATGAACTGTGAATTCTAACTTCTGTTAGTTCGTGTAATACAACTCTACGGCTGTTGACCATGCCTTCAATGAGCACATTCTCACTACTTTTGATATAATGGAGCCCACTGGTTATGACTTCTTACTCAGTACAGCCTTAGGACATCCACCCAGTCACTGAGCTGGAGATTGATATTTCGATGACAGCTTTTTGTTGTAGAACTTGGATATCATCAGTTCCAATTGTTGGAATTCATCAGGGACTAATATTATCAGTTAGAGATCAGTGAAAACTAGGGATTCATTTTATGTCACAGAAATTCTTCAACTACCCTAAGAGAGTCAACTAAATTTTCTGAGTATATACTGTATGTGTCTCATAGGGGAAAAGTAGGAAAGTGTTTTCAAAGGCAATCGAAAGGCAATTGATTGATACTAAATATAGAATTGAAACCTGTCGTACTAGGAGGTTCCAACAAGTCGACAGAGGCACCGAATATTTCGACCAAGTCAATCAACAGAAATATCAAAATGAATTGAAAAAAATAGCTGATGTCCATTGAACAATAGGTGCCTGTTGTAGTTACCTAAGTGGTTTTGTGGACAACGCCTTTGTTCTGGAAACAATAGATTATGACGGGTTCCGAGTCTCAGTGAGAATACCATCTTCAATCACTGGGGAATGCAGGTATATCCAGCTGACTGACGAACGTCAAACAAGACGAAGTGTGCATCTTCTGGATTTCAAAGCGTTAATCAATGTCCAACAAATAATATTCTGTAATCATTCCGAAAACCTCGCCTAGATTACTAGCTTGCTAGTTTTCTAGCCGGTCCCAAGCCCGGATAAAGAGGGAGGACTGGGGCGTGGTGCTGGCAACTCCACCCCCAAAACTTAACCAAATCGCTACAGAAACTTCAATGCACAGATATATTAAAACTCCTAAAAATTTAAACGGTAACCTTATTTTTCGCTGGAATCGGGGACGTGAAATGACTCAGGCTGGTGAAAGCCTTCGGGAAGCCAGTCAGCCGATGTGTCTTCTTCCAATGAAAGCGAAAATAAGGATGGGTACGTGGAATGTTCGTACAATGTACGAAACTAGAAAGGCTGCCCAGATAGCCGCCGAAACAAGGAGATATAAAATAGAAGTGTTGGGAATCTGCGGGAGCAGATGGAACGGAGGAGGATGTCAAATCGAGTGAGAATCGAGAAGGCGAGAAACACATTCATCAACCTGAAACCAATCTGGAAATCTTCGTGACTCAGCATCAACAACAGAATTCACTCGGATTTTCAATATAAACGTCAAGTCAGTTACTTCTTCTATACGGATCAGAAACTTGGCGGGCGGCTCGCAAAGAATATTTCCAGCAGGTTGCAGACCTTTATTGACAACTGCCTTCGCTCTATACTGAAGATCAGATGGCTGGAAATAATCACCAACAAGAAACTATGTGCGTCGGTGGCACAGTGGTTAGGACTCTCGCCAACCATCAACATGGTCCGAGGTTTGATCCCCTGCTAACGCACACCTAATATCTATGGTCGGCCTGCGAAATTTGGGCTACCGATATTCCATGCTGAAAATTCCATACATGTACCGAAAATACAGTGTGGAATCCAGCTGTAATCAAATATAAAAAATAAAAATAAGAACCAATCGCCCAACAAATATGCAGGAGAAAGTGGAGATGGATCGGACATTCGCTGAGGAGACCACTGGGTGACATCGCGCACGCGTCAGGCCATTCCTCGAGTGGAACCAGGCTGAAAGGGAAGCGGAGAGGGGGACGTCAGTGCAAGGGTGACATGGAGGAGATCGTGTGAAGAGGAGTTGAAACAGTATGGACTAACATGGATTCAGGTGAAAAGTAGAGCAGAAGACAGAAGCAAGTAGAGAGGTGCAGTTGAAGCCTTATATTCCACTAGGAACCCAAGGAAACAATAATAATCAATCCGAAGAATCAGCAAAGAAAGGATTTCAAGTGGACATAGAGAAGATATAGAGGTGATGAAGATAACCGACCAACTAACAACAATAAGTACGAATCACTATCAATCCAATAGATATGACACAGGTCACTTCCTCCACCCATTGTTTCAACAGATAGGCGAATGATAATGTGGAAATCAGAATAGGAAAGGTGAGGCAGACTTTCGTCACTCTAAAATCAGTTTAGAAATCTTCTTCGCTCCGCCTCAGCATCAAGATCGAGATTCGAATTTTCGACAACAATGCTAAGTCATTCAGTTCTTTTATATGGGTCAGAAACTTGACCATCGCGTCAAATAAAGCAATTCCAACAGACTACCACAGACTTTTATCAACAGCTGCCTTCGTTGGCTCCATACTGAAGATGAGATGGTCAGCCAGAAAGAATTAGCAACAAAAACTCTGGTTGAAGGCCTATTTTCCGCTTGAAATGCAAGGGAATATCTATCATATAATGATTTGATATGGCACAAACTGAACGATGCAGTATCGGTCACTGGGTGGCTTTTGTTACCACTCATAATTGTATCACAGTATACTTTATATGACATTTAAATACATTTTTATTGCTTTGAAATTAGGGTGACAGTTCACTGAGGTGTGGATTTTGTTGACTTTATATAACAAGAGATGAGATCAATCACATATGTAGAACTAGTGGATAACGATCAGTTAGGTTACCGGTGAATAAGAATCTGAGCAGATCAACCACTGAGTTGAATTCACTTGTATGTAATCATACAGTGCAAGGGGAGTGGGATAGGGTAAAGTATTAAGAAGTAACAGTAATAGTTAGGTGGAAAGAGACAGAGAGGCTAATCAATCAATCTATGTTCATTGAAACAGCGCACGCCAAAAGCACGTAAAACTGAAGTGACGCAAGACCTATCTCGCATGAAGGCCAAGAGGAAGTACGACTGTGTAAGGTCAAGCTTTTTAACCATTCAGCCACACTTAGGTCGAAATTCCATGACCCATGAATTTTCTCCGACCTTTGCTAATTTGGGATTATTATTATTGCTTATTATTGTTCACTTGGGTTCCAAATAAAACATACAGCTTCAGTAGAAGATCTTCACAATTTCACATTCTCTACAGATCCCTTTAGCTGCTCCGAAAATTACCCATATTCTCTCATCTCTGCTTCACCCAACGATCTTCTACATGTCAACCTTCGACACAAGCATTGTTCATCTTTTACCATCTGGGTTACACTTGAATGGTATGTAGTGTTGTTCAACGGTCTCAACGTGTTTCCAATCCATCTATCTCCATTTCATTCTGAATGTTTGTTGAGTAATAGATTCTTGATTGATTCGGTCCCGGAGTTCCTTTTTGCTAATTCCTTATGACCGGCCATCTGATATTCAGTATGAAGCCAATGAAGGCAGCTATTGATAGAAATTGGCAGGACCCTGCCGGAAATGCTTTTCATGACGCGCTGGGCATGTTTCTGACCCACACAAGGATAAATGAGAGAGTGACTTAATACTGGTGTTGAGTTGGAACGGAATTTCGTTCTTCATTCCGATTCCAGGGAAGCAAACTTACACACTGATTCCGGAGTGAAGGTGTACCTTGCCTTTCTGATTCTGGCCTCTTTTGACATACTCATCCATGTTGCCACCTGTAGTTAAAACGATGCTTCCTAGCTAGATTAGTGGGAGAAGTGACCTATTCCAAATTTCTCCCGTTGATGGTGACTGGTGCTCGTTGTTGATGGCTGGTTGGTTGGTTACCTTCAACACCTCAGTCTTTTCTGTGTTTAATTGAAACCCTGTGTTTGCTGGTTTTCACTTGTGTGTCTTCGAGTTTGTGTAACATTAGACATAAATTATCCACAAAGTCCAGACCATCCATTGTCTTGGGATATTTATATCGCTCCAGCCGTCAAAAATATCATCAATGAATATCTAGATAAGCCGTGACATGGAGAATCCCACTGGTAACGACTTCTATTCAGTACGAGATAACCAAGACAACGATCCGCTAGTCATAAATTAAATGGAAGTTGAAATTCTGATACTCGATGGAGTCTAACTGGTTCTGATTCGTGACGAGGACAAACAGCTAAAATATATTTTATGCTTATCAAAGTCATTTAGGAAAAACAACACAAAAAACGGCAGTGCGGGGTGGGGCATACAAACTTACACACAATTGTATTCAAAATAACTGATGTATGATAAAAGATACGTTTATGTTTTAGATTCAGCGAGAATATACCACTTAGCAATAAAGAACATCCAAGGAGATTGAACAGCAACGCGGTTAAATCAAGCAGGATACAACCTATAATTTCAACTATATAAAAAAGTAATAAAAATGTTTCAGAAGGAGACGGAGAAAATATATGAAAATTTAAAATATTATTCAGAAAGGAAGTGTTTAAAGATTATTGCTATTATAGACAAAATCCTTATTTGGTGATACGTTATATATATATATATATATACGTCATCTCTGGAGGTTCGCACCGTAATCCTCTATCTCTGTGAATGAAACATTACCATTCATAGTGTGGGATATAAAAAGATAAAATGCTTGAATTCTGTCAACTATGTGTGAGTAGTGCTGAGGTGGTTAGGCGTAGAGTGTTAGGTAACGAGTGTAACTCAGTCGACGAAGTTGTGGAGCGACATCTGTTGAGGTGGCCAAGACACATTTAGCGCAGGCCGAGTTAACTCCTTTCTCACTACGGAATATCGGCTGGTATCGGATTAGATTGAAAAAGAGCTATGTGTGGACAGACCAAAACCTGACAGTTGATGTAAGCCAGCCACGTAGGAATGTGCAGACTGACTGGTTCAGGTCGCCGGGATTCTAAGAACCAATGGCTGGAGACTGTTGGTGACATGGCTAAAAATTCTTGTTCTCAGTCAGGCAGATGTTACCTCTGAGATCTCCTGTAACTATTAAACCATTATTTTTTCCATGTTACTGTTCTTTCTCCCCTGCATTTCTGCTTATTATCGTTCTTTCGAATCTCTCTTGTTTCTGTCTTTGCGTTCTACATTGGGTAGGGCGACTTAAAGTGCTCTTGCACTTCTGCACAACGTTCTGTGCTGAAACTCACTCAGCTGTAAGCTTTTATTTCATCTTCACTATACTGTCTCCTCACATGTCAACATAGAACCCACGTGTAACTAGTCGTTCATTTCCAATTTTGGTTATACTCAGTGGTTTGCCTGGAGCGTGGTGTCGCTCACCAGTCTCCTCAAAGCGTATGTCCAGTCCACCCATCCATCAGTCTCCATTTCCTTCTGCATTAATAGACTGCTGGATGGTTTGACCGTTACCTGAGTCTCTTATTGCGCGCTTATCCTTTCTGCCTGGCCAGCTGATCTTAAGCAGTGAGAAAGTGGAGGTGTATGTATTGAATGATTTTGATGACGCACATGATGCATATCTTTGAAGCACATAGGAGCATTCACTGACATTTGACATGTTTGTTCGATGGAATTTTGATACCTTATGCTCATTAATCGATAGTCAATGAATGAGTGAACTGTCAATAATCAAATCTGCATAATATAGACACTAATCATTAGTAGCTACATTTTTGAATGCTGGTTTCCATAAGAGATTTGACTGATTTCAACTTTAAAAGTTCACAGACTAACAAACTAGTTAGAGCATCAAAAAGTACTGAACAGCTGGCTGTCTCTTCATGTTAGTTCTGGACTGACCCTTCAACACTAAGTACCTATATTTCCACTTGGAGTCAAACCACTCAGGATCTTCAGATTAAAAGGTGAGGTCGTTGCATATTTAGCCACTGGGAATGAACTAAATCACTCCATAAATTGTAACTTTTTTCATTGCGAAAGCGTTAACCACAAAGTGATTCGGAAACCGCCTCAAACCTATGCAGTGGGTCAAACCTTTATCAATCCCATTAAATAGAGTTATGTGTTGATGTCACATATCAGGTGACTCACAACGGAAGGCTGGAGTAGATCATGCTGCTGGCTGTGCAGAGGAAGCTAGTAAATGGCACAACGTTGAAGTGACAAGAAGAATCGAAAAATTCTGGACTTAGCAGACGGTTGATGTTTGGTGCCACATAAATTAGAAGATTTACAGACGAAGAATTATCACAGGAGGATTTTAATGAAGACAGCACTTCAAGTGAACACAGACAAGACAGAAGTGATGAAGATACCCAAATACAAACAACAATGAGTATCAATCACCATAATCAACAGGAGAAATTTGAAGGAAGTCATTTTTTTCGATTATCTCGCCAAGCATCATTTTTTCAACTACAAGCAGCAGAGATGAGCATGTCAATGGATGCCAGGATTTGAAAATCAAAACAGGCCTTTATTGATCTGAAATCTGCTTGGAAATCAACAGTACGAAGCGTAAAGAAAGATACTTGAATCTATAACAGTAATGTGAAGTCAGTTCTATGTGGTTCAGAGATTAGATGTTTCACAAATAGTATTTCCAATAGTGTATAAACTTTCTGCAACAGATGCCTTCGCTGGCTCTATACTGAAGATCAGATATCCAGTCAGAAAGAATCAGCAACGATTAACTCCATCAATCACTCAACCCATGAATCACTAACTCTTTCCGAAAAGAAACTTACTATTTAAAAAATCACGATACTGACAAATTCTCTGAATATCATCAGTTGCGCTCACTGATACTATGCCAGTTTGTTTATTGCTTTCTGGAGCTTCCATCACTGAAGGAACATCACATTGCTGATACAGACCAATCGATTTGTAATCAATATATATCCATGAAGTGCTCACAGAACCAACAATAAATAACAGCAAACTGAATACGGATAATAAAAAGGCTAAAATCTGGACAAAAAAGGAGAAATAATTAAAGAAAATAAAAGAATGAACTGATCCAAAACTGAGACAATCATTTCGTGATCAGCGTTAGCTTATATGTACAATATACTTCAGTTGTTATATTTTGTGTCACTAACAAGCGGCATTAGTTGGAGAGATTACTGAAGATGAATAGCAGATAGGAGTCCTGGACAAATCTTCTGTACAGAGCTTTGAACAGCACATCTCTACTTCGTCCCGTTCCCTGCAGTCCTTTTTAATTGCACTCACGATCGTCCATAATCTCTCATCTCCTCTAAACCAAAAGATCTCCTCCAGATCATTCTGGGAGGCCACAGTTCTATTTTCTCAACTGAATCACAATCGAGGGATGGACTGGTGTGCAATATCATTCGACAGTGCCCTCAGCGTGTGTCATATTCATCCATCTCCATTTTATTCAGTAAATTTATTGAGCGATAGATTCTTAGCTGGTTAGTTTCCAGAGTTCCTTATTTTTTAATTCTTTCTGGCAAGCCATCTGATATTCATAATGAAGCCAACGAAGACACATATTTGTAGAAGCTCGCGGTAATATGCTCTTCATGACGCCAACGCCAAGTTTCTAACGCACATTAAAGAATTGATGGATTAACTTAACATTGAGGTTGAAAATCTGAATTTTGTTGCTTATACTCCAGCTGAGTGGAGAAGATTTTCGAACTGACATCACAGTAATAAGGGTGTCTGTCGCCTTTCTGATTGTCACTGGATTTTACATCCTCATATTTGCAATCGCCTACAATGGAAACGATACTATCTAATCAGATAAGTGAAGGAAGTGACTACTTTCAAATATTTTTCCGTTGACAGTGATTTGTGCTTGCTTTTATTTGTTGGTTCGTCATATTTATCGCATCCTTCTTCTCTATGTTCGATTGAAGTCCTGTCTTCAATGGCTGCCTCTCCTGTCAACTTGTCAGTTTTCCCTTATTATTATTATATCCTTTAATTCCTAGAGGAACATAGGTCTTCAGCTGCGCACCTCCATTGCCTTCTGTTTTCTGCCAACTTTTTTACTCCGCTCCAGGTCTGTCCACATGCTTTCATATCCTCTTTACATGACCTCCTCCAAGTCACCCTTGGACGCCCAACTCGCCGCTACCCTTTCGGATTCCACTCGAGGACTTGTCTAGTGATGTCACTTGATGGTTTCCTCAGCGTATGGGCAATCCATCTCCATTTCTTCCTGCCTATTTGTTTCACAATCGGTTGCTGATTGGTTCGCTCCCAGAGATCCCTGTTGCTGATCTTTTCTGGCCATCTGATCTTGAGTATTGAGCGAAGACAGCTGTTAATGAAGGTCTGAAGTTTGTTTGAGATGCTCTTTATGACGCACCAAGTCTCTGATCCGTATAGTAGCACTGACTTCACATTGGAGTTGAAAATCCGGATCTTACTTTTGATGCTGATTGCTGTTGACCTCCACACAGATTTGAGAGTAATGAAAGCTTGTCTTGATTTCCCGATTCTGGCTTTGATATCCTCGTCAGTTCCGCCTGTAGTTGAGACGATGCTTCCCAGGTAGGTGAAGGAGGCTGTTTCTTTCAGGTTCTTCCACTTATGTTGATTGTTGTCTGTTGTTGTTGTTGCTGTTGGTGTTGGTTAGGAATCTTCATCACCTCTGTTTTATTTATGTTCACTTGAAGTCCTATCTTTGATGCTTCTTCTGCCAACTTGTTACTTTTCACTTGCATATCTTCCAGTTTGTGGGAAATCAGACATATATCATCGGCGGAGTCCAGATCCTCCAAGTCCTTTGTGTGAGTCCATTTTATGCCTGTTCCCTCGTTGGTTGCCGTTGTCTGTCGCATTATTCAATCTACTGCAATCAGGAAGATCATTGGCGATAGTAGACAGCCTTGCCTCACTCCCGTCCTCACTTCGAAGGCTTCCGTAAGTTTCCCATTGTGGATTACTTGGCATGCAGCATTGTCGTATAACTGTTGGATGAGATGTATAGTTGTCGATGGGACTCCGTAGTAGCGAAGTAGTTCCCAAATGATCTCTCGATCGACGCTGTCGAAGGCCTTTTCAAAGTCGCTGAAGTTGAGTGAGGTGGAGAGGTGACTTCCATTCCAAGCTTTGTTCTTTGATTTACAGCTTGATTCCAGACTGTATTTTCGGTACAAGTATGGAATTTGGAGCATGGATATCGGTAGCCCAAATTTTGCAGGCCGACCATAGATATCAGACGTGCGTCGGTGCGGGCTCGAACCCCGGACCATGTGCATGGTCGGCGAGAGTCCTAACCACTGTGCCACCGACGCACAATGATGATCCGTAGAGTGGCGATTTGATCAATACATGATTTGTTTCTCCTGAATCCGGCCTGTTCCGGACGAAGTTTTTCATCTAGGGCTTGTTTGATTCTCTCCAGGATGATGCGACTTAGTATCTTGCTTGGAATGGACAGAAGCATAATTCCACGCCAGTTTTTACATTGACTTAAGTCTCCTTTCTTTGGAAGTTTGAATAAGTATCCGTTCTTCCAATCCTCGGGTACTTTGCCCTCTTTCCACACCTTCTCCAGCAGTGGTGTCATCAAGTCCGCTGTTGTCTCTGGGTCTATTTTCAAAGCTTCTGCTGGGATTCCATCTGGTCCCGGTGTTTTCCCAGCTTTTAGCATCTTGATTGCATTCAGGACTTCTGATTTCGTCGGGGGGTCAGTGTTCACTGGTAGTTCTGCTTCCGTTGTTGGTATTGTTGGGCGTGTTGTAGGTGGCGGACGATTTAGAAGTCTTTTGAAGTGTTCAGCCCAGTGCTTTCTCTGTTCCACCTCTTTGGTGATTGACTTTCCATTGTCGTCCTTTATTGGCTTAATCTGTGTCGAACGTTTGCCCGAAAGGTGCCTAGTTGTTTGGTAGAGTGTGGCGAGGTCTCCTTTGCCTGCAGCTTGTTCTGCTTCGTTTGCCATGGTTTCATAATATTTTCTTTTGTCTTCCCTGGCACTCTTCTTCACTCTTTTGTTCAGTGTATTGTAGCTTGCATTCAGCTCCTGTTTTTGTTGCTCGTCAGTGCACTGGATAATCTTTTGTTTCACTGTCCTTCTCTCTTCTATTAGTTTCCAAGTGTCCGTAGTGAGCCACTGTTTGTCCTGTCTCTTTTTTCTGCCTAGAATTTCTATGCAGGTTTGGCTCCACACCGTTTTCAAGTTGTTCCAGTGCTTTTCGACGCTGAACTTTTCGCTGGTGTTGATTTGTGTCTCGGCTTTGTCCTTTATGCTTGCAATGAAGATGTCCTTTGTAGCCTGGTCCTTCAGCTTTTGAGTGTTGAACTTGGCTTGTGGTCTATCTGCAGCTCCTGATTCCCTGAAAGCTTTTAATTTGATTTGGATTGTCCCTTGTACGAGATAGTGGTCTGAGCCAACGTCTGCTCCTCTTCTTGCTTTTGTGTCCAGTAGGCTGCGCCTCCACTTCCTTGAGATTGAGATGAAGTCGATTTGGTTTTTGGTTTGCCCGTCTGGTGACACCCATGTAGCCTTGTGGATATCTTTGTGCTTGTATACACTGCCACCAATCACTAGTTCGTTGAAGGCGCAGAAGTCGGCGAAGAGTTCTCCGTTTTCATTCATTTCTCCTAGAGCTTCTCTACCCATGATGAGTTCCCTTCCTGTATTGTCTGGTCCCAGTTTGGCGTTCATGTCTCCCATTAGTATTTTCATGTCGCCAGCTGGAGTATTGTCCATTGTTGCCTGTAGTTGCCTGTAGAATTCTTCTTTCTTTTCGAGGTCTGCGTTGTTTGTGGGTGCATAACATTGTATGATTGACACTTTCCTTCCTTTGGAGTTGAATCTGGCGGTCATTATCCTGGACGAAATCGCCTCCCATTGTATCAGGGCTTTCGTTGCCGTTGGTGACATCATGATAGCCACGCCCTCGGTGTGCGTGTGGTTATCTTCTGGGTGACCGGAGTAGATCACTGACTCACCCGTTGACAATTTGGTGAGTCCACTCCCATTCCATCTGCTTTCACATATTCCCAGCACTTGTATTCCGTATCTTTTCATCTCGTTGGCGATCTGGGCAGCTTTCCCTGTCTCGTACATAGTTCGGACGTTCCATGTTCCCACACAGACTTTTTCTTTTGGTGCAAAGAGGTTCATCGTGCTGAAGTTTGTAGCAATTTTGTTTACAGGGTGGGGTTGCTAGCCTCACGCCTGAGAAAAGAATGATTACATTAAGAAAAGTTTAGAGAGAAGCACTTTTTGGGTTGCTCCCCTCAAAATCGAAAATAACGGACAAAACAATGAGAACAACACCAACAAAAGGAAACAGTTCACAGCAAAAAGCGACAACAACTATACAATAAAACAACATGCAATATAGTTCAGCACAGTTAACTAAAATGATATCTCAACCATAAACTCACTGACTTGGAGCAACTTGAACATGTAAATCCAAGTCAGTTGTCGATAAACGTTCCCAGCACCCTGTTGGATATGCTTTCGTGACGATCTGGCCTACTTTTTGACCCATATAAAAGAAGTGAATGACTTGACATTGGTTTTGAAAATCCGAATTACTTTATTCATTCTGAGTAAGTGGAACTGATTGTCACACCGATTATTATTGTCTTTCCGATTATGACTGATGTTGACATCCTCATCCATGTCACCACCTGTAGTTGGAACGCTGCTGCCTAACCAGATTATTGTAAGAAGTGATTAATTTCAAATTTCTTTCGCTGATGCACCATTGCTGCTTCACGTTGTTGTTGGTTTGTTCGTAATATTTATCACCTCCGTCTTTTCTGTGCTCACTTGAAGTTTATCTTTACTGTCTTTTCTGACAACCGATTGAATCTAACCTGCAGATCTTCAGGTGTATGTGACGCTAGACATAAATGTATATATATATATATATATATATCATGAGTTGGTAGAAGTTACAATTATTAGGCCAACGAGCAAGCTCCCATTGTAATCTAAAGGTTCTGGTTTGGACACTAGGTGGTAATGTCGTGGT